GGCTAATTTTTGTATTTTTAGTAGAGATGGGGTTTCACCATGTTGGCTAGGCTGGTCTTGAACTCCTGACTTCAGGTGATCCACCCACCTCGGCCTCCCAAAGTGCTGGGATTACAGGTGTGAACCACTGCGCCTGGCCCTATTTTTAACTTTTTGTTTGTTTGTTTAGCTGGAGTCTTGCTCTGTCACCCAGGCTGGAGTGCAGTGGTGCCATCTCAGCTCACTATAGCCTCTGCCTCCCAGGTTCAAGCAATTCTCCTGCCTCAGCCTCCTGAAACATTTTTTAATCACATAGTATTTTAATACACCTTCCACAGATAGGCCTTAACTGATTGTTTCAATGCTATCTCCTGGTCGTTTGGTTGAGAAGTAGAACAGAAGCTATCCTATATGAAATATTTTAAAGTTAACACAGTAATGTTCTTGCTTTTGACTAGTTTAACATTTAGTATTTTTTCTTTTTGATTATTTGATAATGGAATATGAGATCTTCTAGGGAACTGATCTAAAATAACTCTTTATTTTAACAGGTTACTTTTGATCCAGAAGTATTTTTCAACATATTACTTCCTCCTATCATATTTTATGCAGGTTATAGCCTGAAAAGGGTAAGTCCTTTTGTCTTTCATATACTTTGAATAATCTGAAACTCCGCGGGCTTTGTAATATTTGACACTTCAGAAATGGGCTGTTCTTTCCAGATTCCCTCCTTTCTCCTCTCCATACCCTTTTTAGATGTTAAAATTTATACCTGTACAAGAATGCTTTCTCTTATTTATCCTAGTGAATAATGCATTTAGTCCTAGTGAATAATGCATTTAATATTAGCATAGCATAGAAAACCTTTTCTTTTTCAAATAACTGGTAAGTATTCTAACAGTGTAACTTTTTTTTTTTTTTTGGTCAGAGACATTTTTTCCGAAATCTCGGGTCTATCCTAGCATACGCTTTTCTTGGAACAGCAATTTCTTGTTTCGTTATTGGGTAAGTATTTGAAGCTTAAAATACTTTGTAGCCTTCAAATTATAATTTTAAAATCATATATTTTTGATTTATGCAGTGTTATATTCCTGACTGGGTCTAAAGACTTTTGCAGTATTCTCATAGGTAATAAGTTGTTTGAATTTTCCTTAAGACCAAAGTATTACCATATTTCAATGACATGAATTAAATTTGGGATTAGTCACAAAGTACTACAGTAAACCCATCTTCTTATTCTTACTTTATCCTAATTTTTTAACAGTTGATATTTTTTTCTAAAGTAGGACTGTGTTTATTGAACAGGTCAATAATGTATGGCTGTGTAACGCTGATGAAGGTAACGGGACAACTTGCAGGAGATTTTTACTTTACAGATTGCCTACTGTTTGGTGCCATTGTATCAGCAACTGATCCAGGTATGTTTTATATGAGTGGAGTTTACATACTTGAGGTACATTGTTTTGCAGTCAAATACATGTGGGTTTTTCTTTCTTTGAGGTGTAGAATTCATGATTAGGTACTTCCTTAGTACTATACTTTCTAATTGTGGAGGAAAAAACAAAATTCATGATTCCTTTTGGCTTCAGCACAAATTTGTTTCCTTTTACTTTTTTTGTTTTTATTACATTTGCCTATTACTGGTCCACAAGTTGATGCTGTTTCAACAAGGACCGTAAGGTACTTTCTTCAGAAATTCATGTTGGTCTTTATCCCTAGTGATTGGGTATAGAAGAAGATGAACTAGATTATAGATTAGTTTAAATGGGTAGTAATTATATGTTTCCATTCAAGCTTTTAGAAAACCAGTTCCCTAAAAATCTTTCTGTTTCTATTCAGCTGTATGCATTTAACAGTAAGAAAAAATGTTTAAAAATGATTGTTAGAAGGCAGTTGTGCTAATACAGGTTTGATTTGTAGTCATTGGAGGACTTTAATATACATTAAAGAATTGTTTTTATAAAATTAGCTTTATGATTGTACAGTTGTTTGTTTAATATTAACACAACTTGTTCCCCTGTACTTTTAGTGTCAGATCTTCTAGAAGTTGTGTTCCAGAATGATTTTAATTGTACTGAGTTAGGGTTTAGTTTTCCTGATAGAGTATTGGTAAACTTAACAGCTACATTCAAATTAGGAATTTGGAGAAGATACAGAATGGAAAGGTTGGGGTAGGAACATAGACTGATGTTTTTGAACTAAGGATGGAAGTTTTCTTTTAGCATGCTTTAAGACTCGTTGAAGTTCATTTTGTTTTGCTTTTTAACCTTGTAAGTTAATCATCTTTAATTGTTACCCAGCACAATTAAAGGTAGAATCCTAAGGTTATCTCTGAATTCCTGTGTTAACTCTGATAACACAGGGCTTTGTGGGAAGGAGAAAAATGTGTTCAATACTCTATGAGAGATATTTTGGCTGGGCACAGTGGCTCATGCGTATAAATGCCAGTGCTTTGGGAGGCCAAGGCTGTAGGATCACTTGAGACTATGAGTTCAAGACCAGCCTAGGCAACACAGTGACACCCTGTCTCTACAAAAAAAAAAAAGAAAAAAAAATAGCTGAGCATGGGAGTGCATGCCTGTAGTCCTAGCTAGTTGGGAGGCTGAGGTGGGAGGACCACTCGAGCCTAGGAGTTTGAGGCTGCAGTGAGCTGCAATGAGGCTGCAGTCTCACTCTGCCTGGGCGGCAAGAGCAAGAACTTGTCTCCAAAAAAGAAAAAAAAAAAGATTTAAAGATTAGTTAGAAGGCCATTTTAGAGAATTTGTGTAGTTTAGCATTTTTAAAACTGGAAATTAAATTGCTTCCTTAAAGACCACCAAGGCTGTCCTTGTTGTTTGTAGCTACTCCCATTATCAACATGAAGGTAGGATGGTTTTTGCAAGGAGCCAGTGGTCTCTGGCTTCTGTGTCCTTTCATTATAAGCAAACTTCTCAACTTTTCAAATCCTATGAGAAATCTCAGTCCTTTGGCTTGGCTACATTATTTCAACTTTCTGGTTTTGTTTGGTAGGACTATTGCCTGAATAGCCCAAGCAAATATCTTTTGCTTATATAAAGTTGAACTGTTATTTTTTTCTGAATTATGTAGGCACTTGCCCCATTTCTATTATTTTGCCATAGTTAACTTGCTCTTAGGTGGGTGAGGTATGGATTTCTTTAAGAAATTCTGCACTATTGCTCTACTCTCCTTCTCCCTTGTCTTGGTGAGCTTTGGTATCAGTATATTCCAGCTGCAATGCTTTGTAGTAGAAACTAGAACTTTTAAAATGTACTGGACATGGTGGCTCATGTCTTTAATCCCAGTGACTCAGGAGGCTGAGTCAGGAGGATCACTTGAACCTAGGGGTTTGAGGCAGCAGTGAACTGTGATTGTGCTACTGCACTCCAGCCTGAGTGACAAAGCAAGACCCTGTCTCTTAAAAAAAAATTAAATAAATAAAATGCAGGTTTCTTGTTTTTATGATTGGCATTTGAAAAAGCTCTCTCGGCCGGGCGTGGTGGCTCACGCCTATAATCCCAGCACTTTGGGAGGCTGAGACAGGTGGATCACGAGGCCAGGAGATTGAGACCATCCTGACTAACACAGTGAAACCCTGTCTCTACTAAAAATACAAAAACTTAGCTGGGCGTTGTGGCAGGCACCTGTAGTCCCAGCTACTTGGGAGGCTGAGGCAGGAGAATGGCGTGAACCTGGGAGGCGGAGGTTGCAGTGAGCCAAGATTGCGCCACTGCACTCCAGGCTGGGCAACAGAGCAAGACTCTGTCTTAAAAAAAAAAAAAAAAAAAAAAAAAAAGGCTCTCTCACCTCTGGTTATATTAATCTTTCATGTCCGCTTGGATTTCTTTAGTAACTGAGCTATGTGACTTAGTAATTAAAGTTAAAATATAACTTCAATCTCATCTGATTTTCTGAGATTTCTCACATAATTGCTTTCCTAAAAGGAAGATTTATTGTTTTTCTTCTTAAGCTGGAGTATCCTCATAGTTGGCTTCTTATTAAGACAACTACAGCAGCTGTAATTCTGGTCATAAATTTTCCCCCAACCAAAAACTAAACCTATGTTTTCATATCCTACTGTCTTTGCTAAACCTTTGTGCTTGCAATTTGTAAGTCAAGTACAAATGAGTTGTAAGGCCCAAAGAAACACAGTTTGCAACATTAGATTCTTTTCATAATCTTCTTCTTCATTAAAGATTAATGACTACATGGTCTATAAGAAATTCTGAATATATTCTTTGTAAGATCGAGGAAGGTGGGAAAGAAATGTACAAGACATGATTATTAACATCTGCATGAAGAATGTAGGTCAACTCAGTTCTTCAAGTTTACTTTCAGCCATTTTTAAGAGAGAGAGGAGAAGTTTGTGCAGGTACACAATTAGAAAGAAAAATATTTACATAAAATTACAGGATCTTTAATATGGTAAGAGAATGTTTATTACGATTGAATTCTAGGAGGAAGAAATGAATTTCTAAATAACTCTTATAGTCATCTACTGAGGAGAATATGTTATACTTGTAATGTCTAAGTATTCCTCTGACTCTTTTTACTTGCTAGTGACTGTTCTTGCTATATTCCACGAGCTTCAAGTTGATGTTGAACTCTATGCACTTCTTTTTGGTGAAAGTGTCCTCAATGATGCTGTTGCCATAGTGCTGTCCTCGTAAGTGTTTGTTTTCTTATTATATTCTGAATATTAAGTGTGAGGGTACTAGGAACTGAAAGTCACGTATTGAATAAAGTACATTATGAATGGAAACATTTGGAAGAATGAGGCATTTTTTTCCCTCTTGAAAAAATCCATATTTTATAGATAAATTGGAAAATACAGGGAAGAAAAAAATATGTACTGCCACCACCTAAAGACAATTACTGTAAACATTCTAGAACATTTCCCTTTTCTATGTATGATATTGTTACATAGTTGTGATTGTAGTGTCTATATAATTTTGTATTCGATTTTAACATTACAACATGAACATTTTATTTTTTAAATTAGATTTAATATTTTCTTTTTCTTTTTTTTTGGAAATAAGAGTCTCACTCTGTCACACAGGCTGGAGTGCAGTGGCGTGATCTTGGCTCAGTACAACCTCTGCCTCCCAGGTTCAAGTGATTCTCCTGCCTCAGCCTCCTGAGTAGCTGGGATTACAGGCGCCCGCCACCATGCCCGGCTAATTTTTGTATTTTAGTAGAGATAGGGTTTCACCATATTGCTCAGGCTGGTCTTCTCCTGACCTCAGGTGATCGACCTACCTCAATCTCCCAAAGTGCTGGGATTACAGGCATGAGCCACTGTGCCCGGCCTTAATTTTTTCTGAATACATAATATATTCATGTGGCTCATAAATCAAAACCATGTAAAAAGTTACACACAGAAAATTTACACTCTTACATCTGTCCTCATCCACCTGTCCCCCTACTTTTTTTTTTTGAGGTGAAGTCTTGCTCTTGTTCCCCAGGCTGGAGTGCAATGGCACAGTCTCGGCTCGCTGCAACCTCTGCCTCCCAGGTTCAAGTGATTCTTCTGCCTCAGCCTCCTGAGTAGCTGGGATTACAGGCTCCTGCCACCACGCCCAGCTAATTTTTGTATTTTTAGTAAAGACAGTGTTTCACCACATTGGCCAGTCTGGTCTTAAACTCCCGACCTCAGATGGTTTGCCCGCCTCAGCCTCCCAAAGTGCTGAGATTACAGGTGTGAGCCACTGCGCCTGGCCTAGATAACCATTTTTATTAGTGTCTTACCTATCTTCGTATTTCTTTATTCAAATGCAGGCACAACTGTGAATAAATAGTCTCGTTTACCTCTCATTTCTTATTTTTAAAGTCACACACTGTCTATCTTCTGGAGAACTTTGCATATCAGAAGAGTGAGTATTCTCATTCTTTGCAGCTATATAGTATTCTGTGTGTGAACTGCATTATTGTTTATTTGCTCAGTCTCCTATTGCAGCACATTTGAAGGGTTTTTAATCCTTTGCTGTCCCAAACGGTGCTGCAGTGATTAACCTTGAACTTACCTTGTTTTATACATGCATAGGTATATTGGTAGGCTGAATGCCCCAAAGTGAGGTTGGTAGGTAGGATAAAGGGTAAAAGCCATTTGTAATTTTGTTCGACATTATTAAGTTGCTCATCAAAGGAATTGTAGCACTTTGCACTTTCACCATTAAATTACTGGTCTGTTTCCTCACAGTTTTGCCAGCAGAATATTTGTCAAACTTTTATATTTTTGCTAACTTGATAATTGAGAAATACCTCATTGTAGCTTAATTTGTGTTTCTCTTATTTGACATAATCACTTCAAAGCATTTTAATCTCTAGAAGTGTTAATATATATTATAGATATGTAATTATATAATATATTACTTATCACAATTTAATTGCAGACAATTTTGAATGAGCAATATTTTTTATCTAATTATAGAAAATACTATACATGTTACTATAAAGTGTTTGCAGGTTGAAGAATGAGTCTGAACCTCTGAGGATTTCAATCCTGCCTCCCTACTCTTTTTTTTTTTTTTTCTAAGACGGAGCTTTGCTCTGTCACCCAGGCTGGAGTGCAGTGGCACAATATTGGCTCACTGCAACCTCCACCTCCCAGGTTCAAGCAATTTTCCTGCCTCAGCCTCCTGAGTAGCTGGGACTACAGGCATGCACTACCACGCCTGGCCAATTTTTGTATATGTAGTAGAGACAGGGTTTCACTGTGTTGACCAGGCTGGTTTCGAACTCCTGACCTCAGGTGATCCACCTGCCTCGGCCTCCCCAAGTGCTGGGATTACAGGCATGAGCCACCATGCCTGGCCCCTGCCTACCTACTCTTATTAGGCAAATATCTAACTCTATGGGCAGTTGCCTTTACTTCATACCAGAACTTTCTGTGAGAGAGAAGTAAGAGCCCTTCACATTTTCTCTTTATTTTTATTTCTCTCCTTAATTTCCACTTTGTTAGTTATGAAAGAGTAAAACATCACTGGCTCTGTTTTGCATAGCCTGATTGTCTTCTGCAAAGTTGGAAATTATTATTTCTGAGATGTAACATTAATCCCTTAAATGCTGTGTATGAAGATATACAAAAGGCCATATCCTTTTTTGTGAATGCAGTATATGTAAATATTACCCCCTCCCCACCATATTTATTGCCAGATTTTTTTGCAGCTGTCTGCAACTAATATAAATTTAACTTGAGAAATAAAACCTAAAGGCTGTAACTCATATTGATACTGAACTTTAGCACGTTCAGTGATGATAGGTGCAGAATAAGAGTTTTATATTATTTGAAGTAAGGGAGAAATGGATAGTGTGGTTGTAAAACATTTTATAAAAAATGGAGCAACAAAGATTGTTGAAGCTTCCAGTACGTAGGTACATGAGCGATTACCAGCAGTAAAAAGTGAAGAGACTAGGTACAGGCAGTCACTTTTAGCATCGATTCCCTATCCTAGACAACTATTCCACTGTTCAATCATTTTACTAGTAACTGTTGTCTTGTCATTGCCCTAACGGCCTAATGGATTAAGAGTTAGAAAATCTCTGTTCTGGTCTTATCTTTAAATGATGTGCCCTGTGCCTTAGTTTTTTCCTGTTAATAAAATAGCCTGTTTTCTGCATTTTAAGGAACAGTTGATTAGTGTTAGCGGAAAAGATAAAAACCCTCATTGAAAGATTTTGAGTTTGGGGTTATAAATAACCTATTTCCTGCAACGTCAGGAATAGTTGATTAGTGTGAAAGGGGGCAAAACTTCATTGAAAGATTTTAAGCTTGGGGGTGTACATACCAATGTTGGTGAAGAATAAATGCTAAAAAGAGAGAGCCAGCTGGGTACAGTGGCTCACACCTGTAATCCCAGCACTTTGGGAGACCGAGGCGGGCGGATCACCTGAGGTCAGGAGTTCAAGACCAGCCTGGCCAACATGGCAAAACCCTGTCTCTACTAAAAGTACAAAAATTAGTCGGGCGTGGTGGCACATGCCTATAATCCCAGCTACCTGGGAGGCTGAGGCAGGAGAATTTCTTGAACCCAGGAGACGGAGGTTGCAGTGAGCTGAAATCACGGCACTGCCCTCCAGCCTGAAAAAAAAAAAAAAAAAAAAAAAAAAAAAAAAAAAGAGAGAGCGAGCCCTTTCCATAGCATTTCTCACAAAGGGCCATACTTCTCCTTCTCTTGCAGCCTTTCTCAAACAGGGTTTTCTGTGAGAGAATGAAGCCTTACGGGAAACGATTTGAGTGAGTCTTTTCTCATTTCACCTAAGGATGATAGCGAGCTAGTGCCATTTTAGATTTGTAAGAGATAATACGTTAACTCATTACAACCTCAGTGGGACTCTGGTGGAGAAGGACTGTATCTAGAGAGGAGCATAACAGATAAATTGTTAGCTCTGTCTTAATAGAGTTGAAAAAATGAGTTACTGCCCAAAAGCTGAAGGGAAAGCAGTTGTGTGCTCGCTGTGGGAGTTTACTAGCTGGAATGATCAGTGGTATGATGCTCATCATTCTTCATTTACCTTTTATGTGTTTTGAAGTGGGTTAGATGCAGATAATCTACTTTGTGTTGAATTTTCTTAGTTTGAGGATTGTCTGTATTCTGTGTAAGCAGCTTTGCATCAAGGGGAGGGAACCCAAAAGGAGTTCTGTTTGGCAGTTAACAGGTTAAGGCAACTCATCTTGAAGTTTATGTTGGAGGTTGTTTTTGTTTCTGTCTGATTTTTTTTTTCCAACTTTTAAGTTCAAGGGTACATGTACAGGATGTGCAAGTTTGTTACATAGGTAAATATGTGCCGTGGTGGTTTACTGCACAGGTCAACCCATCACCGAGGTATTAAGCGCAGCATCCATTAGCTATTCTTCCTGAAGCACTGTTTTTTGTTTTGTTTTTAACCTATTGGAGTAGCAGTTCTTTTATTTTTATTTTTATTTTTAGTAATACTTTTAATCCAGTGAGGGTGAAGTGAAATTGACTCCCTCATACATGGCTGCATGAGGTAGATCTATTTGTATATTGTTATATTATGGTAAATAAAGTATATGTAGTTAGAGGTAAATTATAAGTTGCATAGTATTCCACTGAATAGATTACTGTGATTAGCCTGGAGACCTAAATTCACATTAGTTTAAAATATGTTGTTTAGTCATTTATGTTTTTATAAAAGAGGATGTACAGAGAGATAATAAATGTGATAAACTGTTTAACTTCACTAATTATCAAAGATACATGCTAGGATCAGTAGCTATTTCTACCTATTCAATTAACAGGACATAACTTTTTTTTTTTTTGAGACAGAGTTTTGGTCTTGTCACCCAGGCTGGAGTAAAATGGCACGGTCTTGGCTCACTGCTACCTCCGCCTCCCAGGTTCAAGCGATTCTCCTGCCTTAGCCTCCCAAGTAGCTGGGATTACAGGTGCACACCACTATGCCTGGCTAATTTTTGTATTTTTAGTAGAGATGGGGTTTCACTGTGTTGGCCAGGATGGTCTCGAATTCCTGACCTCAGGTGATCCACCCTTCTTGGCCTCCCAAAATGCTGGGATGACAGGCAGGAGCCACTGTGCTCGGCCAGAATTGTTAATGGTAATAGTTACTACTGGTAATGATATAGTACAGTCATTCTTACAATTTACCACCCCCCACCCCACCACCACACACACACATGGGATATTTCACAGTGTCTGGGGACATTCTGGCTGTCATCAATGGGAGGGGGTTCCAACTGACATGGCCTAGTGGGTAGAAGCTTTCAATGCACAGGACAGCATTCCCCTCACCCCACCTGCATCACAGCCAACAAATAAATATCTGGCCACAAATATCAATAATGCTGTGGTTGAGAAACCCTGGTGTAGTAAAACTAGACCACTCATATGTTGCTGTTAATATTGAAATTGGTATTACCTTTTATCACTATTTGTGATAATGTTAAAATATATTTGTGGCAAAAATTCAAAGCATTTGACTCAGAAAGTAGAAAATTCCTGAAATTTCAGCTCAGAAATAACCACTATTAGGATTTTAATCCAGACTTTTTCCATTAAGATAGTAATATGCATATAAATGTGTTAATAATTTTTATAAACAGAAAAAGGCATAGTAGTATATATACTTTTCTGTAACTAGCTTTTTTACTTGGATATTATACTATATTAGTACCTCTATTATCACATTGGATGGATGCATTACAAATTTACCTCTCCAATCCCCTATTGATTGATTAATATTTGGTGTTTTCTAATATTGTATTATTATGACTAGCATGGCAGTGAGCATATTTATGTGTAAATCTTTGTGAATCCCTGTGAATATTTCTGTAGGGAATTTTTTAGGAGTAGAATTGCTAGGTCAGTGGGTATGATCATTTAAAAAATTGGGAGATATTATCGTATTTCCCTCCCAAAATGTATCAGAGACCTTTTGGAAGGCAGTGGAGCAACATGTAAAATGAGCCATAGGTATGGTAATAGTCTATTTTTAGAAATATAGTGCAAGGAATAGTCTAAAATATGTAAAAAGCAAGAAGATGTTCTTTCAGTTATTTATAGTAGCAAAAATAGTAGAAGCAACTTTTAATGTCTAACAATGAGGAAATGGTTGAATAAATTGTACTATATCCATTTGGACCATTGTGAAGTCTTAACTGTAGTTATAAAGACTATGATTTTTTTTTTTTAGATGGAATTTTGTTTTTACTGCCCAGGCTGGAGTGCAATGGCATGATCTCAGCTCACTGTAACCTCCACCTCCTGGGTTCAAGCAATTCTCCTGCCTTAGCCTCCCAAGTAGCTGGGATTACAGGCATGCGCTACCACGCCCGGCTAATTTTGTATTTTTATTTTTAGTAGAGACGGGGTTTCTCCATGTTGGTCAGGCTGGTCTTGAACCCCCACCTCAGGTGATCTGCCCACCTCGGCCTCCCAAAGTGCTGAGATTACAGGAGTGAGCCACTGCGTCCGGCCAAGACTATGAATATTTTTATGTCATTGTCAGTTAAAAAAGCAGAATTCAAAATCACACATTCACTGTGATTACAGCTAAATAAGAATTAGCATGCATGTAACACAAAGAGAGGAAAGGAATACAGAAGGAAAATAAAATCGATCTATCAGGGTAGTGGAATGATGGGAAGATTTTTCCACCTCAACTGTACATTATATTACTTTCAGGATTTTAAAAAAAACTATTCATAAAAAATGTTACTGCCTCAAGATAAAATATCAATTGATATGGAAAAGATGAGTTAAAATTTCAATCCAGAGGCCAGTGTCTGCCTAAGAAAGAACAAGCCTGTCATCTGCTCTCAGCCCATCATGTTTCCCATGTGTTCTTACACATTTTAATGATTAAAGAATGAAATAATGATTAGTGTGAATCTTGAATTTATGTGAATTAATCCAGGGAAAGCAACCTCAGGAGGCATAGCATAGATACTTTGTTCCAGACAGCATTTTGAAAAATACCACCAAAGGAAAAGAAGGTTGTATAGCAATTTTTTTCTTTTCTCCAGCCAGCTACTGTATTTTCATGTTGTAATGGAATCAGGTCTCGTTCATGGTAGTAGGACCCTTTATGTGTAGGTAAGGTAGCCTGATGTTAAAGGCCATTTCATATTTATCAAAATGATATCAAATCCTCTCCAAAATGATGTGGTTACTTTGCACATTTAAACGTAAATGTTTAACATTTTCAATTTAGAGTGAGTCTCAGAAATTTCTGGATCCCATTATCAGAAATTAATATTAGTGCTATATTTCAATAAAATAAGTACAAATTAGGAGATTTTAGTTTGATCTTAGATTTTTTTTTTAACCTGGGAGATATAAAAAGAACTTGTACGTGGTATAGCAAACACATTTTTCAGCCTTGAATCAGAAAAAAACATTGCAGCAACCACAGGGAGAATTCATTATATTTTTAGGAATGTGTTTTTCCTTCTTTTCTTTGATGTGATTTGTATGATGTTGTTGAGTCTGGACTTTTTATAATGCTGGTCTCAATTAACTGAGATGAGAACTGATTTAGTAACGGTAAGCACCGTTGCCAGAGACCTGCTGGCAACAGCAATTTTCTCAGGCATTTCTATTTCCTGGGTTGGTAACTGTTATAAAAGAAGCTTTTTCAGACCAGGTTTGGACTGTGAGTTCAAGATGGAGAGCATCTCCTATAATTGCCTGTCTTGGCCTGGTATAGAGTGACTTTCTTTCAGAAGCTTTAGGTGGAAGATCCAGCTGGTTATGCTGAAAGTACTGTTGAGTGGATTCTAATTCCTTGGGAGGTCTTTCGAGTGCTTTTTCCTATAATAGTCCATTTCAGTGAATGAATAGATATTAGGCATTTGGCCCATTCTGGTATTCTGAAAGTTGGAAGGGTCTGTCAGTTACCTTTTTTTCTCATAGGAAAAACAAAATGTGACTGGGTTGAGTATTGAATAATGTTCTTTATGTTCTTATGCCTCTACTGGAAACAAGTGGGATTTTTCATTAGTTTGTTCACATTAGTATGTTAAGGCTTTCGGACACTCAGTACTAGTAATTCTGAAATAGAATCACAAAAGAATAATACTGCACAGTATCTTGGGGATGGGGGAAAAAGCTTGGTGCAATTTTCATATAGAGGATTTTACAATGTTCTACCCTCCTGAAATTAACATTTAAGGAAAAGCCAAGTTTTCTTGCTAGCCAGACACATTGCAGGATTTTTGGGTAATTTTGTCCTTATTTTGGCAATTCCAATCAAAACATTTTTTTTCTTCTCCCTCTAATTTCATCTTTCAAGCTCTATACTACATAATTTTTTTTTTTTTTTAAAGTAAAAGTTGCTTCCAGAAGTAAAAGCAGTCTCTCTTCTGTAGCTCAATAGTGGCATACCAGCCAGCTGGAGACAACAGTCACACCTTTGATGTCACAGCGATGTTCAAGTCTATTGGAATCTTCCTTGGAATCTTCAGTGGATCTTTTGCGATGGGTGCTGCTACTGGAGTGGTGACAGCTTTAATATCCTTTTGTTATATTTATCTTTTCTTGTTAACATAATGCAGTAGTCGAATGCTGTATTCCATTGTTTTTCTTAGTTCTATGATTAGAACTGTGTTAGAATTATTAATCTTATAACTAAGTACTTGGTTTGAAAACATTAAGCAACATAAAAGAACTGTATTGTTCTGCGTAGGGTTTCATGCCCTAAAACTTTCACTGCAAGCGTATAATTAGAGATGGTATCTCTTTGAGGGTGAATTTTATAGTTGTAGATTAAATAACTATAAAGGTAGCCATATTCCAAAGAGCCTCTGGGTGTTCTGTGTTGCTGGTCAGCCTGGCAGTCTTTTGCTCTTTTTTTAATAGGACAAATAGGAAATGTACAACGGCGATGCCAAGTGAACAAAAGGTGGTTCCCTGGTTAGGCTAAGTAAGAGTTCATCTCAGTTCTCCCGATTTTAACCTTTGTGCTCTAGAGCCCTGGATGGGCAGCTCAAAAGACCTGAGTTGTAGTCCTGGTACTACCACTAGTCAAGTTATTCTTGTGTTCATGCAAAGGCCATTTTATCCTGGACTTCACCACCATGCAATACATCCATGTCATAAAACTGCACTTGTGCATCCTGAATCTATAAAAACAAATTTTATTTTTATTTATTTATTTATTTTTTGAGACAGAGTCTTGCTCTTTCCCCCAGGCTGGAGTGCAATGGCATGATCTCGGCTCACTGCAACCTCCGCCTCCCAGGTTCAAGCAGTTCCCCCGCCTCAGCCTCCCAAGTAGCTGGGATTACAGGCGTGCAACACCACACCCAGCAAGTTTTTTTGTATTTTTAGCGGAGATGGGGTTTCACGATGTTGGCCAGGCTGGTCTCGAACTCCTGACATCAGGTGATCCACCCACCTCGGCCTCCTAAAGTGCTGGGGTTACAGTCATGAGCCACCGTGCCTGGCCTAAAAACATGTTATAAACTCCCAACCCAAAACAAAAAGCCAGAAGGAATGTCTTGATCACCTGCTATATGTGCTGTGCTCTGTGTATCAAAGCTAAAGAAGACAAACATGACCCCTGCCTCCCTGCTGCTTTCAGTATAGTGGCAGACACAAACATGCTAGAAGCTTTGACACTTGACCTCTTTGGATCTCAGTGTAGGAAAGTGGAGGGTGGGGATGGTAGGAAAGAGGAGTGGGACTAGATGATGTCTAAAGAGTTTCCAGCTCTAGACCGAGCATCGTGGCTCACACCTGTAATCCCAGCACTTTGGGAGGCCGAGGCAGGCGGATCACAAGGTCAGGAGATCGAGACCATCCTGGCTAACACAGTGAAACCCTGTCTCTACTAAAAATACAAAAAATTAGCTGGGTGTTGTGGTGGGCGCCTGTAGTCCCAGCTACTTGGGAGGCTGAGGCGGGAGAATGGCGTGAATCCAGGAGGTGGAGCTTGCAGTGTGCCGAGATTGTGCCACTGCACTCCAGTCTGGGTGACAGTGCGAGACTCCAAATCAAAAAAAAAAAAAAAAAGTTTCCAACTCTAAAACTTCTATGATACCTGTATAAAACAGATATCTTATTCTTTGTCAAGGACCTCTTAGTTGCTATACTTCAGCCTTGTGCTGGAAGAGGCTTCTTTTATGGCTTTTTATAGGTGAACTGAGGCATAAAGCAGCAGTAAAAAGTGTTCTGAAGGTGATGCCAAGACAGGTAGTCTCTCTTCCCCATTACAAGTTCCTTGAGGGGAGAGAATATATCTTGTTAATCATTTTGTTGTAGTGCCTAGCTGTAGAAATGACTCTAGATTCTAGCCTGAGATTGGTTGTAACTTGGCACAGGCCCTTCCACCGTCAGCTAACAAATAGTTGTTCAACTAGTATAAGGGAGTGAAGTGCCTCAATTTCTTCATCATGGAATGAATGCTGTATATCACAGAGGTGGTAGAAGATCAAATTAGTGTAAACTCTCTTGGAAATTATGTATTTTTATAAATGTAAATTGCTATAATTATGGAAGCTGTCTAGCTTTAGGTCTCAGATTAATAGAGGTGGCATGTTATGGATCTGATCTGTTATTCCCATCTCTGTCCATCCTTTACTGCATGGTTTCTGGCAAGGTATGTGATACCCATGAAACAATTGGAGTGGCTAAGCCGCAAGGCTTCCTCACTGAAGGGAAGGCAGCTGACTCCTCAGTGAGATGCTCATTTAAAAAGTTTCCCCACTCTGGTGGTACCTCCTTATTCTGGGATTTTTGTGTTAGAGAAGCTAGAGAACCTTCTTTCATGGTTGCCTTGCTTAAACTGTCGTTTCTTTCTAGTCACACTTTTGTGTTACAAGATCTCATTACCAGCCTTAACAGTCTTACGTGACAAAGTTCACCAAATTACGTGAGTTCCAGTTGTTGGAGACAGGCCTGTTCTTCCTGATGTCCTGGAGTACCTTCCTCTTGGCTGAAGCATGGGGCTTCACAGGTCGGTGACTTGCTCCCTTTGATTGTCAACCCTTAAAAGGAGTGACTTTGCCAGTCAATTTTGCTCCAAGTGGATCAGCTCCATTAGTATTTGAACATACTTATTATGGTTGGGATTTAGGTTGTCACTTTAGAACATCAAAAAAATTTTCAGTGGAAGTGGTTCCTCTTAACAAAGTAAGTCACAAATGAGAATTTCCAGACAAAGCCTATAATCTACTGTGAAAAAAGAATCTCAGTATAAAAGGTGGGAACCATCCTTTTATGTGAACTTGAAATTTGTTGTCTTTATAGGTGTGGTTGCAGTATTGTTTTGTGGCATCACACAAGCACATTATACATATAATAATTTGTCCACGGAGTCTCAGCATAGAACTAAACAGGTAAGAGGAACTTTATAGTTTGTGAATAGACTTTTCTTTCTTTCAGCAAAACAGAAGTCTTTTTTACTAAAAAAAAAAAAAAAAAAAAAAGTCTTTGATCTGTTCAAGATGATATCTACTCATTTCAGCTCCTCTTTCTTTGACTCTAAAAGTAGGTGGGATTGGCAAACTGAAGAGTGACAGCGTTGAGGGTGGAAATAGATCAGCAGAATAGCCAGAGACTATTATTATCGTGGCTTCAATAACCAATGGAGTAGCTTCCCTTTCTCTCAGTGTTTTCCCAATTTAATGGCTTTATAGGGGAATGTTTTGGAAGCTCACTCTGGTTTTACTCGAACTACTGTTGTGTGACGTAGACAAGATTAACTTCTGATCTGACCAGACCTTCTAAGAGATGACGTAGATAAGATTAACTTCTGATCTGATTAGCCCTACTAAAAGAAGATCAACTTCCTTCAGTCTTTGCTCAGGTGCTGCAAAGCTACTATGTTTCCAGGAATGTCGGGACTAGTCAGTGGTCTGGTTTTATTTGGTACCGAATGATCAGTTGTGCAGGGTATCTGAAGGGAATTATAAAGGAGATAGAATAGAATTTTCTAGTCTTAGGAGGTATAGAGGACAAATACATGAACAAAATGTAATATCTGGAATAGAAACAGGTACATACTTGACTATGGCTATAGTGAGAAACAGGTTTAAATTTTGCCAAATGACAAGAAGGTTATGGGATTCGCCTGAAAAGGAGTGGTTCTAAAAGCAGGAGCAACAGTATTTCTTCTTCCTGCTGGAGCCACAAATTAAGTTTATGACCTATGCTTTTCCCCAGCTCCTCAAAAGAGATTAGGCTTTTTTCCCCCAAGCATATACATTAGGGCTACAAATCTTTTTTACAAATTAATTCAGTGCAATAAGTAAAGAGAAGAAAATCAGCTGGCGGGGGGCAGGGTGGGAGGGGAGTCAGCATTTTTCCAAGTCATGGGTGGGGAATAAAAAACAAGAACAGGCCGGGCGCTGTGGCTCACACCTGTAATCCCAACATTTTGGGAGGTCGAAGTGGGCGGATCACCCGAGGTCAGGAATTTGAGACCAGCCTGGCCAACATGGTGAAACCCTGTTTCTACTAAAAATACAAAAATTAGCTGGATGTAATAGCATGCACCTATATTCCCAGCTACTCAGGAGGCTGAGGCAGGAGAATCGCTTGAACCTGGGAGGCAGAGGTTGCAGTGAACTGAGATTGTGCCACTGCACTCCAGCCTGGATGACAGAGCAAGACTCCGTCTCAATAACAAACAAACAAAAAACAACAGTAAACAGGAAAAGAGTAAGAGCTTCCAGTGTTGTTGGTGATATGAAGCTTATGTACATTTAAAAAATATGAGGAATAGGAATCCTAGATTATGTACTTCAGATTATATGTCATAGAAGACATCAGAGAAGTAGGGGAAATGGTTTGAGGCTTGAGGATCCGGAAAGCTATCCTAGAAGAAACAGTACCCTTAGAAGGATGGGGAAGATTCAGGAAGGCCTAGGGGAGGCAGTACAGATAAAGGCAGGGATAAAAAGAAGGCAGTAAAGTGTAGAGCAGAGGGTGGCGGACTCCAGCCCTTAGGCCACATCCGGCCCTTGCCAGTCAGTGAGCTAAGAATGTTTTTCTTTCCATCCATTTTTAATTGATTGGCAAAAGATCAAAAGAAGAATATGTTGTGACCCATGACAGTTATATGAAATTCACATTTCCGTGTCCACCAATAAGATTTTCTGGGCACACAGCCACACCCATTTTTAAAAATATGTAGTCTATGGCTACTTTTGTGCTCCACTGGCAGAGTGAAGTAGTTGTGACAGAGACCTCTTGGCCTGCAAATCCTCTCATGTTTACTCTCTGGCCATTCATGGGCAAGTTTGCCGATCCCTGTGTTGCAAAGTAAAGCCGGGACTCTGGAGTCTCTGTATTGTTTTAAATCCTGGTTCTACCACTTGCTGGCTGTGTGACCAGGAGCAAGTTCCATAACTTCTCTGTGCTTCAGTTTTGCCATCTTTGAAAATGGAGATAATAATTACCTACCTCACTGAGTTTTTGCGGGATTAAAATGAGATAATGCATATGAAGTCCTTAGTATGGTGTCGGACACCGGACACACAGTAAAAACTGAAAAAGGTATAACTGTTATCATTAAGTATAAATAAGTAGTAATAATAGCATATTAAATAATTTAAAGAAAATTAAATACACGTTTACTTATTTTAATTTTTATTCTCATTTTTGGGTAATAAGGCAACCCTGGTTTAAAGAGATTAACTAACTTGCCCAAAGCCACACAGCCAGCAACGGGGAAGACAGGGCTAAAGCCTAGGCATTTTGATTCCTAAGCCCATGTTCTTAACCACTTTTCTGTTATGTGTCAGAGGGCTCATAGTAACAAGCCATTGTAGATAACACTGGTGGCCAGAGGGACACCAGATTATGAAGGGCCTTAACTTCATTCAGCAAGTATCATATACCCTTGCCAAGGCTATGATGGGAATGGGATGGGGCAGGTGGGCAGCAGGGTTTAGTTCTCCCCACAGATAGTTCTGCTATCCTACACATTGATCTCTTCCACAATATGGAAGCCCTATCTGTAGGATACTTACTCCCTACACAAGGGTAAGACCCACGCAAAAAGTGAAGTCACAGGGCAAGCCGGGAATACGAGAGTTCTCACGAAGCACTCTATGCCAGGATCAAAAAGTTGAAAAGAATCTTATAGCTTGCAAGAGGAAAGTATCTTGAAACTATCAGTTTTAGAGATTCATTGGTTTGGGGGAGCTGGAGGACGAGGGATGGTTAGAGGTCCTTTTTCATCTTTATGGGTAGGAAGTGATGAAAGTTTGACTAGGGCAGTAGCAGGAACACAAGGAACATTAAAAAAAAAACTGACAGAGTTTGGAGGAGGAGGAGAGGAATAATTGGAGATGGGGCTTTGGAGAAGGAAAGCTGATTAGGGGAAATGAGGGGGGAACGTTTCTGGCTTTTTCTGCAGGACTAGAAATGTCATCTCCACATTTGCTCCCTTCTGAACCACACATTTTGTGTGTATGCATGAACTTTATCTATTTGAGTGTCTGTTTTATTATCTTAGTAATACTCATGTTTTCAAATTATGTAACTTAATTTATTTACTGGACTAATCTTTTACAATTTCGTTTCAGTTGTTTGAGCTTCTCAATTTCTTGGCAGAGAATTTCATCTTCTCCTACATGGGACTGACATTGTTCACCTTCCAGAACCATGTCTTTAACCCAACATTTGTAGTAGGAGCATTTGTATCCTTTATTATGTGTTTTATTATGAAAACTATTTTTAATTGAGATTTTCATGTGGGTTTTGAGTATGTGGTTCATAAGAATACATTTAAATATATACAGTTTTCCTCTGAGTCAAATAAGGATTCCAGTTCTTTTTTCTAGTGTATTTATTTTATTATATTCTATTTCAATTTGTGGTTATTGCACAAATAATGTTGACAGATTAAAATGACAGACAAGTGTCCCACTGTTCTGCCAACCCCAAAAGATAAGTGTTTTCCCTTTATTACTACAGGGAAGGAGAGGTTGGATACTGGGGAACAGTTAGCAGTCTATGCCACAGGGCAGAAGGTGAAAGATAAGGAAACGTTGAATGAGGCCACTTTCTTTCTCTTTCTCTCCCTCCCCAACCCCTTTCTCTCCCTCTCTCTTTCTATCGCATATATACAAAGAGTCTTAAAAAAAAAAAAACCCAGCCTGGGCAATGTAGCAAGACCCCATCTTTACAAACAAAATTTTAAAAACTAGCCAGGTATGGTGGTACATGCCTGTAGTCCCAGCTACTTGGGAGGGTAAGGTAGAAGGATCCCTTGAGCCCAGGAGTTTGAGGCTGCAGTGAGCCGTGATTGGGTCACTGCACTCCAGCCTGGGTGACAAAGGGAGACCCTGTCTCAAAAAAAAAAAAAAAACAATTGGAAGGAAGAAACTGAGTATATGAAAGAGAGGAGGCAATAGTGAAGGCCTCTTGAGAAAGCAGGAATGAAATCTAAAGCATGTAGAGAGAAATTTTGCCTTCACTGGGAGGAGAGACAACTCTACCATGACTACAGGAGAGGATAGGGTATGTAGAAATGAAGGCATATTTGTAAGATGGAGCTCCTCTCTGATGGCTTCTATGTTTATCTGTTAAGTAGGAGGTGAGATCATCTGCTGAGAGTAAGATGGGGAGTTGTCTATTGTGTAACAAATTACCTTAAATTTAGCAGCTTAAAACAACAGACAGTTATTATCTCACACAGTTTCTGAGGGTCGGGAATCCTGGAGCAGCTCACCTGAGTGGTTCTGGCTCCAGGATCTCTCAAGAGGTTGCAGTTGTGCTCTTGGCTGGGACTGCACCTTCTCAAGACTTGACTAGGGCCAGGGAATCCACTGCAAGCTCACTCAACTCACATCACTGTCAGCAAGAGGCTTCTATTCTTCTCCACGTGGATATCTCCATAGGGCAGCTTACACCATGGCTTCTTCCCCCAAACTGAGTGAGCTGAGAGAGCCCTAAAATGAAAGCTGAAATGCCTTTTGTAACCTAATCTTTGAAGAGACATACCAGCATCACTTCCATAATATTCTATTGGTTATACCGACCAACCTGGTACAGTGTGGGTGGGGACTACGCAAGGGTGTGAATACTAAGAGGCAGGGATGGTTAGGGACTGTCTTGGAGGATGGCTTACACAGATCATAGGGATTTTGAGGAAGGTGCAGGTTTGTGAAATAGTTGTAGAGAGTGGAAGAATAAGTTAACCAAAGAAACTCAACAGGACTGCTGAGAAGTACTAGGGATCCATTGTGTTTGAGGAATAGGAATTAGCAGTAGAACCAGTCTTCCCCGTTGAATGACTTTATCCAGCAGTACTTACTGTGAGCGTGGAGTAAAGAGATAGTTGGCTCCTTCCAGGTTTGGAGTTTTTGCAAGTGGGTGCAAGGAAAACAGAAGGACAAGAGATCATAGTGTTATTACATGACTGATGCAATCTAAACACTTCATTTAATGTTTAACATTAAAAGGTGTTATTAACATGATGGTAAGAAGGGAAGTGAGGAAAGAAGACATTGTTTCAGGAAAGAATATAGGGATTTTTGGACTGAAGGTCCCAGTGCTATGGAGGAATGATCAGAGTGGGATAGTTGAACACAAAATATGGAAGGAGCAATTGTGGTCAGTGGGAATGTTTGAATAAGGAATTTTTAAAAGAAATATTTTAAAACCTCACCTCAGAATGAAGATTCTGCCAAAGAGATTAGCAGAAGTTTTGTTTTGTTTTGTTTTTAATTAAAACTCTAGATAGGATCTCTGTTAGAAAGTGAAGTATTACTGAAATACCATTCTTCAGAGCCTTAGTCTGCAATTGAACTTTAGGCAAAAAAGATAAAGTACTGTTAATAGGAGAAGATCTTAGCTGAAGGACAACCACAAGATCAGTAACTTAATGTCCTGCTAGTCTTGGAGAAAATTTTGAGCAGTCAAATGGCTCTATTCACTATACTTAATCTGGAAACAAAGCTAAATATTCTCTATAGGTTTCTGAGTCTGTTAGGAATTAAAATTCCTCAATACAAAATCCTACCATGAAAATGGCCTCTTAACAGGAGAGAGTTGCTGTATTTCTGGCTATATTAGTTAGGACATAGGTTTGGTTTCATGTGAAAAGACTCAAACTAATCCAGGTTTAAACAACATAGAAATTTCTTTCTTATCTAAAAATCTGAACTGGTATGGCAGTTCTGCTCCATACGGTCATCAGGGACTGAAGCAATATTGTTGCTAACATCCTTAGGGACTTGCTCTTGTTCTTGTGATCCAACGTGTCTCACCCCTGTCTGCCGGTTGCCTTGAAGGGCTTGACCCAGAATGTGCACACGTCCCTTCCACTTAACATCATTGATTACACCTACTCACAAGGAAGGTTAGGAGTTACATACTTTATCTGGACGGCTGCATAAAGATGAAAGGGAGGAGTGCCAACTACCAAGGAAGAAAGCAAGAACAGATGTTGGGGAGAACTAGCAGTCACTGCCGCATTGGCCCACATGTTTAGTGGTTATGTGTTCTTTTCTTTTTGGGGAATCACTTTTTTTTTTTTTTTTTTTTTGGGGAATCCTTTTTTTTTTTTTTTTTTTTTGTGAGATGGAGTCTCCCTCTGTCACCCAGGCTGGAGTGCCGTGGCGCGATCTTGCTCACTGCAAGCTCCGCCTCCCGGGTTCACGCCATTCTCCTGCCTCAGCCTCCCGAGTAGTAGCTGGGACTACAGGCGCCCGCCACCGCGCCTGGCTAAGTTTTTGTAGTTTTAGTAGAGACGGGGTTTCACCATGGTCTCGATCTCCTGACCTCGTGATCCACCCGCCTCACCCTCCCAAAGTGCCGGGATTACAGGCGTGAGCCACCGCGCCCGGCCAGAATCACTTTTTAAAATTTTTGATTTTAGAATAGTTTTAGGTTTACAGAAAAATTGTGAATATAATACAGAAAGTTCTCATATGCCCCACACTCAGTTTCCCCTATTATTAACATATTAGCATGGTACATTTGTCACAATGAATGAACTAATATTGATATTACTAATTAAAGTTCAAACTTTATTCTGATTCCCGTAGTTTTTCCCTAAGGTCCTTTCTCTATTCCAGGGTCCCATCCAGGATACCACATTAGATTTAGTTGTCATGTCCCCTTAGGCTCTGCCTGCCTGTGACAGTTTCTCATATGTGTTCTTTGTTTTTGGTGACCCTTGACAGTATTGAAGGGTACTAGCCATGTCTTTTGTAGAATGTCCTGCAGTTGGAACTTGTCTGATATTTTCCCCATGATTAGACTGGAGTTACATGTTCTTTGAGAGGAAGACCACAGAGGTAAAATGCCATTCTCATGACATTATATCAAGGGTATATACTTAATAATGTTGATGATAGTCTTAATCACTTGGTTAAGATAGTGTTTGTCAGATTTATCCATTATAAAGTTACACATTTCCCCCCTCCCCTCCCCATGTTGTACTGCTTGGAAGGAAGTTGCTATGAGCAAAGATTGAAGAATGGGGAGTTAGGTTCCACCTCCTTGAGGACAGAGTATCAGCAAAATTATTTGGAATTTTTCACACAGGAGATTTATGTATTCCTCATTTGTTTTATTCAGTCATTTATTATTATTATTATTATTATTATTTTTTGAGACAGTTTCACTCTTGTTGCCCAGGCTGGAGTGCAATGGCGTGATCTCAGCTCACTGCAACCCCCACCTCCCGGGTTCAAGTGATTCTCCTGTCTCATCCTCCTGAGTAGCTGAGATTATAGGCATGAGCTGAGATTACAGGCATGGGCCACCACACCTGGCTAATTTTTATATTTTCAGTAGAGGCGGGGTTTCGCCATGTTGGCCATGCTGGTCTCGAACTCCTGACCTCAAGTGATCCACACGTCTCAGCCTCCCAAAGTGTTGGAATTACAGGCGTGAGCCACCGCACCCAGCCCAGTCATTTATTTATATCAATATGGATTCATTGATATTTATTTTATACTCTGAGTTATAATACAACTTTTTTTATTTTGTTGCTCAAACTGTTCCAGCTTGGCCATTGAGAGCTCTTTTGGCAGGCTCTTCTGTGTGCCTTGGATATAGCCTCATCATTTTAAATTTTTATTCTCATCATTGTTTTTAATTTTTTTTTTTTTTTTTGAGTACTTCCTTACTCCCTGGAACTACAGGATGCTTCAGGCTCATCTTGTATCTGTTCTGGCTCAGCCCAAGAATTGGCCATTTCTCCAAGAACTCCTGGTTCCTTTTGTTGGAGAATAGTATTAGAAATCAAAATCTGAGCACTAGGTGTGCTCAGTGTTACTTGGTGTCTTTGCTTCTAGGCTCTCTCAGCTGACAGAGCAAGGAATTATATATGTATATATCTATATCCATATACATAGATATAATATACGCTAACTCATATATGCATATATATCTATACATATTTCTGCATATAACCATGTGTATCTCTATTAAGTTCAATATGGGTTCATACTGATGTCTCCAACTTTAATCCATTACCACACGGATTATTCTGGCCTCCTCCCCTTTCTGAACTGTAAACTCCCATTCTAACAGTAAGAAACTTTGCTGTCACCACTTGCCGTTCGTTTACCTAATTGTTCAGTTTCAGTATACATGTATAATAGTATCAGAATTGTTAACCAGTGTTCCCATGGGAAACAGCTTTGTCATGAGCATAGAATGCTTTTGTGCAGTTCTTCTGCCTTTAGTCTTACAGATTCTACTCTTTTCCAAAGTTACTTAGACCAACACCATTCCCCCCACCTTGTTTTTTTATTTGTTTGTTATTGAGACAGGGTCTCACTCTGTCACCCAGGCTGGAGTGCAGTGGCACAATCTCAGCTCACTGCAGCCTCTGCGTCCTGTGTTCAAGCAATTCTCGTGCTTCAGCCACTGGAATAGCTGGGATTACAGGTGTACACCACCATGCCCAGCTCATTTTTGTATTTTTAATAGAGACAGGTTTTTGCCATGATGGCCAGGCTGGTCTTGAACTCCTGGCCTCAAGCTGTCCTTCCGCCCCGGCCTCCCAAAGTACTGGGATGACAAGTGTGAGCCACTGCACATGGCCTTATTTTGTTTTTAATCTTAAATTTTCCCTTATATTTTTCTCAGGAAATGAGGTGGAGACTGTATCATGACTCCTGAAATAAAAATTGCCATCATAAAGTAGGAGTCCTATAGACAGCAAACTGGAGAAAAAGATACTAAAATTGGTTTCTAGTTAAAACCAGTCTGAATTCACATTAAACTTTCCCTTTGAAGCAAGTTGGAAGTATAAACTCAGTGGAGTACAGTGGGTCTGGCAGCCATTTTAGTGCTATGAGGTGGTGATTCAGCTGCACTTTTCTTTATTCTGAGGAAGGAAGGGGAAGTTTTCTCAGCATTGCTCTTTTTCCTACCAACACTAACAATGAAAGTGAATTAACCTGTTCTATTAATAATCTTAGAAGTATAGTAAAGAAACTCCGCTTTTAAACACGTTTCTCTTAATCTAGTAAATTTCCTGCATGTTACACCTGCTCTGTCCAATTTGGTAGCAATTAGCCAAATGTGATTATTTTAATTTGAAGTAATTAAAATGAAATAAATTTTCAGTTCCTTGGTCACTCTAGCCACATTTCAGGTGCTCACCGAATTGGACAGTGCAGATATAGAAAATTTCCATTGTTGCAGAAAGTTCTGTTGGACAGTGCTATGTTAGACAATGGAACCAAAAGACTGTGTGTTAGAAACTGAGTTCGCTGAAATAGTCTTTCACCATCTTGAATGTATAGTCTAAATAATATTAATAGTAAAATGAAATGATCCTTAACCTATTAATAATTTTAGGTTGCTATTTTCTTGGGAAGAGCTGCCAATATTTACCCCTTGTCCCTCTTACTTAATTTAGGTAGAAGAAGTAAGATTGGATCAAATTTTCAACATATGATGATGTTTGCTGGTAAGTTATAACTTTCTTCTCTTGCCCACCTCAAGCGACCATTCACAATGCGTATGCCAGCTTGATGTAACACTGAGATGTTATGCTGGTCATATAATACTCCTTTATTTTTATATTATTTATTTATTTAGAGACACTGTTTCACTCTGTCACCCAGGCTATAGTGCAGTGGCACCATCTTGGCTCACTGCAACCTCTGCGTCCCAGGTTCAAGCAATTCTCGTGCCGTAGCCTCCCGAGTAGCTGGGATTACAGGCGTGCACCAATATGCCTGGCTAATTTTTGTATTTTTAGTAGAGATGGGGTTTCACCATGTTGGCCAGGCTGGTCACGAACTCCTGACCTCAAGTAATCCACCCACCTTGGCCTTTCAAAGTGCTAGGATTATAGGCATGAGCCACCGTGCCTGACCTATAATACTCCTTTAAACATTGAAGTTGCATCCTTGAATAGAAAATATATATATGTATATATTTTATATATATGTATATACATATATTTTATGGGACAATATAATATGTATATACATACACACACACACACACACACACACACACACACACACATATATATATTTTTGTCCCATTCCCTTCTGTGGGAATTTTTCATATTCTGGTTCCAAATCCTTGGTTTAGAATTATGTCATAGAAAGTGAGAAAGATAAAGATGAAGTCATTTTCAAACAAAAACCTGGAGGTGAATGTTTATAGCAGTTCTTTTCATAATTGCCAAAACCTGGAAACAACCCACTTGTCTGTCTCTCAATGCGCAAATAGTTAATCAAACTGTGATACATCCATGCTATGGAATACTACTGTGCACTAAAAAGAACAAACAATTTACCCATACAGCATGGATGAATCTCAGAGGCATTATGCTAAGTGCAAGAAGCCAGTCTTGAAAGGTTACCTGCTGTGTGATTCCCTTTACATGACATTCGCAAAAAGACAAAGTCATAGCGATGGGGAATGCATCAGTGGTTGCCGTGGGTTTGATGGAGTGACAAGAGGTTAGACTAAAAAAGGGTAACACAAAGAAATTTCACTGGGGGAGGGATGTTTAAACCATTCTGTGTCTTGATTACAGTAGTAGTCACACACACCTCTATTAATTTGCCAAAACTCATGTGGCTATGGACCAAAAAGAGTGAATTTTACTGTTTGTAAATAAAAAATGAATTTTAAAAAATTATTAAAACATCAGTACGTGTCAGTAACATATACAAATTCTATTTCTATTTGTACTTTTTTTTTTTTTCCGAGATAGAGTCTTGCTCTGTCGGTGGAGTGCAGTGGTACAATCTTGGCTCACTGTAACTTCTGCCTCCCTGGTTCAAGCAATTCTGCCTCAGCCTCCCGAGTAGCTGGGATTACAGGCGTGTGCCACCATGCCCGGCTGATTTTTGTATTTTTGGTAGAGATGGGGTTTCAGCATGTTGACCAGGCTGGTCTCGAACTCCTGACCTCAGGTGATCTGCCCACCTCGGCCTCCCAAAGTGCTGATTACAGGTGTGAGCCACCTTGCGCAGCCTATACATATTTAAGTATGTTAATATTTACTGCATATTTGTTCACATGCTTCTAAGTTTTTAGAATGCACTTTATTGCTCTGAATTTATGAAGCTTGCATTGGTAATGAGTTATTGAAGAAATACCTTTTCTGTTCCCCTGTAGGCCTTCGTGGTGCAATGGCATTTGCCTTGGCCATTCGAGATACTGCCACTTATGCACGGCAAATGATGTTCAGCACCACGCTTCTGATTGTGTTTTTTACCGTGTGGGTATTTGGAGGTGGCACCACTGCAATGCTGTCATGCTTGCATATCAGGTAAGTACTAACTGGAGACCTAATTTTAAGATTAAATTTTAATGTGGTTTATTTTTCTGCCCATTTTCAAGTTTTAAGCTTTGGTGAATCTGTAATGTTTAATTTTTTCCTTTTAAAAAATATGTAGTATGTAGTACAGAAAAAGGAAAATATATACGCAAAAGAAAAATTCATTGTTAACACTTTGAGGGATATCTTTCCAGACCTTTTGCTATATATGATATGTATTTTTGACAAAAAGGGGCAATACTAAAGGTACTCTTGTAGCCTGATTTTTGAATGTAAAATAGCATGGACATTTACATTGTAAATATGTTTACATCATTGTTTTAATGGCTGCATATATCCTGATTTATTTACTCAAATCCCTGTTGTTGGGCTTTTGTATTGTTTCTAGGATTTTGCTATTACCATTACAATTTGAGGATTTTGCTATTACTATTACCATTAACAGTGTGAACATTCTTAAATGTATACACCACTGTGTACTTGTTTGATTATTTCTTTGCATGTCTAGAAATGAAATTGCTTGCTCAAAAGGATATGTATATATTTAAGGCTTTTGATCAGTATCACCAGGTCAGATAAAAAATTTGCCTTCTACCTGCAATGTATGAGACAGTGCAGTTTACCCCAACCCTAATCACTACTAGATATTATCATTTTTCTCATCAGCACTGTTTTTAACCTAACAATCCAAAGCCAAGATCGTGAGGTCTTAGTCTTGAATGTGTACCAGTTAATGTATTCAATTTGAAAGCTCCCTTGTATCTCAAGAGTTCTGCATCTGTTTCCATGGATACAGCAGCCTATGCTGCTAAAGCCTTTGTAGATTTTAGTTCTGTGTTTGGCTGAAACTTCATAGACATTAAGAGCGACCAAGCTTCCCGAATACATAGGGCTCATTAGAGAAAACAGTATTTCACACTTTATAGATCCTGTCCTCCAGTTTTTAAATTCTATTATGCCTTTTTAAAAACATTTTAAAAACCAACCAGCCCTAAATCACACTTTGAATGTTGTTGTTATTGTCTTAATTTCTCTTTACTATTCAAATCCCTTATAATTTCTGTGCTTTTATTGTGCATAGTACAAAATACACAATATTCTTATAACCTTAATTACTACTTTAGGGAGGACCTGGCATTTATTGAACACTTACTATGTGCTGGGCATTGTGTTAAGTACATTTTACATATTTATCCAAACGTGATAACTCCATTTCACAAGTGATGAAATAGAGGCTTAGAAAGGTTCTGAGTTGTTCAGGGTCATCTGGATAATTAAATGGCAGGCAGAGGAGCCTCCAGTCTTTCTTAATTTCTTTTAGAAATTAATTTCATCAAACAATGGGCATGGTACATTTTGAAAGGACACAGTTCCTTTCTTTTCTCAAGAGCTTGTAGATGAAGACTTTCCCTCATTTTCCTAAGGATAACAAAATTAAATGTAAGAACAAACCAAACAAAATATCTATGCTTACCATCTTCCCAAAAAGAAAAGACAAAAAAAAAAAAAATACCTACTCACACAAAATTTAATCTACATCACTAGCTGTCAAAGCTCTTTGGCAGCATAGTGCCTGTCCTGTAACAGTTTGTCACTTAATTATAATATTGTCTTATAGTCTTAGGTTACTTCTTATTGTTTTCTTGTTTTATTGGTATTATTCTTGGCCTGTTCGTGAACAGGGGCTGTATTTTAAGCTTCTCTTTCCTCCCCCCAAATTTGTCTAGTACAGTTTTAAGGGCACTGCTAAGTCCTGAAAGTTTAAGATTCATGCAGACTTAGGACTTGGCTTTGACTTCTTGCCCCTTCATTGACGAATTCTGTGATCTTAGGCAAGTTCTTTAACCTTTTAAAGCCTCAGTTTCCTCATCTGTAACATGTATGTTATAGTACCTACCTCCTTGGGTTGTTGTAAGGATTCAGTGAGCTAGTATCTGTAAAGTTCTTAGCACAGCATTTCAAATATACCTTTTATTCATTCATTTGATAAACATTTACAGAACACCAGCCATGTGCCGGGCACTGTAGGTTACAACTCAGTGGTTCTTTTTTTTTTTTTTTTTTTTTGGAGACAGAGTCTTGCTTTGTTGCTCAGGCTGGAGTGCAGTGGTGCAATCTTGGCTCATTGCAACCTCCACTTCCCAGGTTCAAGCAGTTCTCCTCCCTCAGTCTCCTAAGTAGCTGGGACTACATGCGTGCACCACCACGCCTGGTTAATTTTTGTATTTTTAGTAGAGATGGGATTTCACCATGTTGGCCAGGCTGGTCTCAAACTCCTGACCTCAAGTGATTTGCCTGCCTCAGTGTCGGGATTACAGGTATGAGCCACCTCGCCCAGCCTCAGTGCTTCTTAAGGATACTTTTGCCCCCCTCCCCGCAAGGGACATTTGGCACTTTATGGAGACATTTTTGGTTGTCACAACTGGAAGAGGGAGCTGCTGCTGGCATCTAGTGAGTAGAGGCCAAGGATGCTGCTTAACATGCTACAATGCATAGGACAGGCTCCTCACCAACCCTCACCACCTGCCAACAGAGAATTATCTAGGCCAGAATATCAGTAATGCTAGGGTTAAGAAATCCTACTCTAGAGAAGCACAGTGATCATAATAGGATAGAGAAGGTTCCTAGACTCATAACATCTAAACTTTAGTGAGAGAAGACAGACAATAAACTAGTAACACATAAATGAACCTGACAACTGTAGATGATATTAAATGCTATGATGGGAATCGGGCAAGGTACTGTGATAGTGACTGGGGATGGGTATGTATTTTATACAGGGAGGCCAGGGACGGTTTCTCTAAGAGGTTACGTTTGAGTTCAGTCTTACCTGCGTGACTAGATGTTGCCAGTTAAACAGTTATCAGGAAGAAGAGCAGTCTAGGCAGTGGGAAGAGCAAGTTACAGAAGTCGTGAGGCAGGGGCAAACTTGGCCTGTTGAATGAACAGGAAAAAAGCTCTCATGGCTGGAGTATAGTGACTGAAGGGTAGGTAGGAAGTGAGGTTGGCAAGATCCTATGAAAGCAGAGGTCTGCCAACTTTTACTGTCAAGGGCCAGAGAGTAAATATGTCAGGCTTTAGAGGCCACACAGTCTGTCTCAGCTACTCAACTCTAGTGTAAAAGCAGCCCTAGACAATACGTAAATCAATTGGCATGGTTGTATCCCAGTAAAACTTTATTATTTACAAAACAGAAGAGGTACTGGTGTGGCCTGTAGGCTGTAGTTTGTGGACCCCTAATACAAAGTTTTGTGGAACATGGTAAGGGATATGGATTTTAAAATACAATTGGAAATCCTGGAGGATTTTAAAGCAAGGGAGTGACATGAAGTCATTTACAGTGTAAAAGGTTCACTTTAGCTGTCATGTGGACAGTGGATCCTCAGTAAATTTGAAACAGCCAGCTATTCCCATGTCCTTTCACATAGTTTGTGACAGTCACATTTGGCTCTCTATCATTTACTACACATCCTTTGCACTTCTGTGTCTCTGAGCCTTTGCTCATACTGTTCCCTCTGCCTGGAATGCTCTTTCGCTGTTAGTAAATGACACAGCTCAAGTGCCACCTCCTTTTCCCCCTGTTCTTTTCCCTCAGAACCACTCTTCTGTTGGTGCAACATTGGGCCTCTCCAATTGTAGAACTTATTTTATTCAGTCTTGTAATAATATTGTTATAAGAGCTACCACTTAGTGTTAATGTTTCAGATACTCTTTTAAAACCTTTTCATACATTTTTTCATTAAATCCTTGCAGCAACTCTGTGTGGTGGATATTAGCCTCATTTTCCAGGTGATAAAGTGATGATTTATAGGACTGTATCACTTGACTGAGTTAACACAGCTAGAAAGCAGCCAAGTCCAGATTTGAAGCCAGAGCTCCCTGATAGAAGCCCTTAGGGATTATGCCCTAGTTGTGTCGGTTTCCCCCACTAGTCTGTGAGTTCCTTGATGGCAGGGGCCATGTTTAATTCATTTCTATGCCCTGTGCCTAGTACAGTGCCTGGCAAATAATAAGTGCTCTATAAATGTTTATTACATTGACTTAGCTTCTGATAATGTACCCTCTGAGTATTGCAAGTGTGCTATCTTCAAGACCACTAGATGTCACTCAAGATGCATAAATGTGGTTAGAGTCTAATGTGACTGAGAAGATGTTAAACAGCTCCTGGCCATTTTAACAAAGGAAAAATGAGCCATTCTTTGAATTATGAATCTGGTCATAGCGATCTGTTTTCAAGTCCTTGACCATGATTCCCTTGCTTTCCAGATGCAGCCTTGCATCATTTTCTCCCTTCAGTGTTATTTGTGTTCTGGGATGCTACTGCTACAGCTTCTAGTACTGCTTTTTTTTTCTGTGTTGTCTGTAGTAGTTAATTTAATCAATAAACATTTGAGCACCTATTGTGTGTCAGGTACTGTGCTAGACTCTGGGCATACAGAGATGAATTGAGACATGGCCTTTACCCTCAAGGAGCTCACAGTCTTTTTGGGGAGACTGACAGGTAAATAACTATACTCTACTGTGCTAAGTATCATAACAAAGGACTGTAGAAAGTGCTGCAGATGCACAGAGGAAAAAATGATTCTGCTTGAAGGGGTCATAGAAAGGTTACTTTGGAACTTGAAAAACACGTTAAAAATGAGGGAAAGCACATTGCAGCTGGAGAGAACAGCATGAGCAATGGCATGGGAGGCTCAGGAGAAGACGGATTTGGGGAGAAGAGCAGGCAGGTATGGCTAGAATGGGGCATGTAGAAGAGAATGATGGAAAATGAGGATGGAAAAGTAGATTGGAGTGGGGTGAGGATGCTAGTTTGTAGAGCGTCTTGAATGCCCCACAAAGGACTTCAGACTTGACCCTCTGGGTTGTAAGCCACTCTCAGAGTCCTTTGTCAAGGGAGTAACACAGCAAGCTCTATGCTGGCGACAGCTGACTCTCAGGGAGAGCCTGGCAGCTGAAAAAGCTTCCATGACAGAGCCCATGAGCCTCAGAATGAGGGCTGCCCTTGAGCAGTTGGGATGGACAGGAGAGAAGACTTGAGAGAGCATTTAGAGGAGGAGTGAACAGAGTTGGTGAGTGCCCGTGTTTAGGGAATAGAGAGAAGCCAGAGAACTTTGTAATGAAGCTTTTCCCTGGGATACAGAAAGCAGGAATTTTAACCAGATAAAAAAAGAATTGTGAAGAAGCAAGGCTAATGTCTATCCATTAGCCTATGAAAAACCTGTAATTGGACCCTCTCTTCAGTCATCGAAACAGAATGTTGCCATGAGAGCTGCGAGGTGAATTGCACTATGCCAGCCCTGTTTTTGGAGCTACCCAGTAATTCTTATTTAGCAACTGGGGCAGTGCTGCTCTCTCTGATTCTGCTTCGAATGGACCTATATTCAGAGAAGAAAATGCTGTTTTTTTCTGAAACTGGTAAGTAAGATTGCAGGAAGAGAATCATGGGTACACCCTGCTTGCCTTAGAATCCAAGCTGTTGCTAAGGAAAGTGGCAGGAGCCAAAAATCTGCATCAACAGCCATAGAGAAGCAAGAAAACATTAACCATTCCATAGCAGCTTCTGTGTTGAGAAAAGTGGTTGCCTGACAATGTACATGTGTGAGTAGACCATTTTTTGGCTTCCAAATCTCATTTGCTCTTTGTGTTTCTCCTTTAGGGTTGGTGTTGATTCAGACCAAGAACACTTGGTAAATATGCGTTTTTGTTGTTCCTGGCATTTCTATCAAATGTGCAGTCATTTGGAAAGAAAACAACCTACTGTAAACTTCATCCTTCTATTTAGATCCTGTCCTCTTTGCCTCAGCTTTTAACTGACATCATTCCTGGCTTTTCTCACTGCTCCATAGAGACAAAACCAAGTTTGCCACAGTGTCATAGTGTGTGGTTATCAAGGGCGACAGCTTTCATGTCTCTGGGCCATCCCGCCTGGGCTTTTGCCCCAGAGGAGAGCAGTCTCTTAAGGACTTCTGGGTTTTCGAGTGACTCCTCTGGCACGGGGAGGCTTTTTCCACTTTTGTTTGCGCATGAAGCCTTGTCTCTGATGTAAGCCCCACTCCAGCTGCTCTTCCTGTGTACTTTCAAATTGGATGACCAGCAGCTGCCCTAGAGAACTGCCTAGAAGCTTTTGAGTCTTCAACCAGTCTTCCCTGCCTGCTCAGGGGAACGCACTTTCTTACCTTGCCCCTCAGCCTTGGCCACGTTTCCTTGCTTCCTTCCTTCTGTTGTGTCAGTTTCTCAGTTGTTGCTATGAACTTGAGCCCGTTGGACTGAATGCATTGTAACTCGCTGCCCTCTCTAGACTGACCACCCTTGTCTGGTATTTTCCATCTGTTTTTCAATCGCTTCTGAGCACCATTGAATATATGCCTCCATATAGACATTAGATGAGAAATCACAGAAATTAGATTTTTGAACATGGAAAGCATCTCTTTCAAAACAGTTTTTTTCTTGTCTGAAACAAACCCCAGTCAGTATATTTGTCTTCAGGGTGAGGTTAAAAAAAACATTTGTCAGATTCATTTCCTAAATGCTAATTTTGTTAGCTGTTGAGTGATGAGTGTGAATGTATGTATGAGATATAGTAAGTACTCGCCTCTTGTGATCAGATCCTTAAAGTAGAATTCCATGGGCTTGACATACTTGTAAAAACCAAGCTGGATAAATTCCCATGATGCCAGGCTCCTGGGGTAATGTCCAAGGAGTAATAACTCCTCAGTGCCTTCTCCCTGTGTCAAAACAAGAATAAAGTTAATCATGCCGTTCAAAAGACAAATGCTCGATCGCTCTCTGTACAAGTCTCCACCAGCTGTGTCACCTCTGTAACCACAGAGGAGAAATGGAAAAGGAGTGACAGGGAGAGAGCCAGGTAGGTGAGTGCCAGTCATGACATACAGAACAAAGAACTGTTTTTTTTCCCTTACCTTCAAAACTCTACGGCTGGGCCTGGCATGGTGGCTCATGCCTGTAATCCCAGCATATTGGGAGGCCAAGGTGGGTGAATCACCTGAGGTCAGGAGTTTGAGACCAGCAGGGCCAACATGGCGAGTCAGGAGTTCGAGACCAGCCTGGCCAACATGGCAAAACCCTGTCTCTGCTAAAAATACAGAAATTAGCTGGGCGTGGTGGTGGGTGCTACTCAGGAAACTGAGGCAGGAGAATCACTTCAACCCGGGAGGTGGAGGTTACAGTGAGCTGAGATCGTGCCACTGTACTCCAACCTGGGCAACAGTGCGAGAGACTGTCTCGAAAAACAAAATTAAAAGAAAACAAAAACCCTGTGGCTGTCTTGGTTATATTGTTTCTTTAATATTTTGAATGTCCACCAGAAAGCGCAGAGGAACATTATACTAAGTGTGGAGTGTGTGGGGGTGGGATGTACAGGTGTTCATGTGGTGAGGGATGGTGAAATGTTGCTTTTCAAGAGGTGGAGGCACACAAAGATACTTCTAATGATGTGAAAGGAATTGCAGGTGTTCTTCAGCTTTTGTAAGCCCATACAGTGTTTCCAAACATTTTTGTGTTGTGTATAAGTTGATATATGACACATGACACGTTGAGGGAGAGAGAAATTTATTTTGAGCATTAGCAATGACAGGAAGAAACCAAAACCCAGAATCTAAACTCTATGCTTGCTTGCTTGCTTGCTTATTTGTTTATTTACTTACTGAGATGAAGTTTCACTCTGTCGGCCATGCTAGAGTGCAGTGGCACGATCTCAGCTTACTGCAACCTCCACCTCCCGGATTCAGGCAATTCTCTTGCCTCACCCTTCCAGGTAGCTGAGACTATAGGTGCCTGCCACCATGCCTGGCTCATTTTTTTGGTGTGTTTTTCGTAGAGATGGGGTTTTGCCATGTTGGTCAGGCTGGACTCGAACTCCTGACCTCAAGCGATACACCCGCCTCGGCTTCCCAAAGTGTTGGGATTACAGGCATGAGCCACTGTGTCTGGCCTAAATTATGTGCTTTTAGAAAAGAAGATTATGGAACCATAGAACATGAGCACGGGAAAGGACCTTCAGGATTCTCTAAACCTCATCATGTTTTTATACATAAAGAAATTCGAGCCCAGAGAGAGAAAGGGACTTCCTTAAACTACTTAATGTCAATAAGCTGGGACTGGAAGCAGATTGCCTAACTGCCCAACTGCTGACTGCACCACATTACAAATAAAGACACAGTTTATATTTTTGGAAACTTTTAGGAGAGGCCTACTTGCTGTGTTAGTTTCTCCTCCTGGCTGGTCAGGCTTACCATGGAATTTCAGTACTTGTTTTTATTTTGCTAATGTTTCAAGAATATAGTAGCAACTTTGAAGTTGCTAGTTACTTTCGAGATCCATGACAACTCCCAAATACAGGGATGTTGATGTGATGTTTTCTAAGGTGCTATTACTTTGAGAGTTAAATCTTTCAGGTTCAGTACATGAATTATTCCACATTGATTTTTTTTTTCTTTTTTTCTTTTTTTTTGAGATGGAGTCTCGCTCTGTCACCCAGACTGGAGTGCGGTGGCACGATCTCAGCTCACTGCAACCTCCACCTCCTGGGTTCAAGTGAACCTCCTGCCTCAGCCTCCTGAGTAGCTGGGATTACAGGTGCGCCCCACCACCCCCAGCTAGTTTTTGTATTTTTAGTAGAGACGGGGTTTCACCATATTGGTCAGGCTGGTCTCGAACTCCTGATCTCATGATCTGCCCACCTCGACCTCCCAAAGTGCTGGGATTACAGGCGTACCCCACCACACCCGGCTAATTTTTGTATTTTTAGTAGAGATGGGGTTTCACCATGTTGGTCAGGCTGGTCTCAAACTCCTGATCTCGTGATCTGCCCGCCTCAGCCTCCCAAAGTGCTGGGATTACAGGCATGAGCCACCGCGCCCGGCCCCCACATGGATTTTTTTAAGTGAGAGTAGATTTGTAAATTAGCAAGCAGCCTGAGTAATGGAGGTGTTCAGAAAAACATTTCAATTTTTTATTCCAAAGCTTCAATATTCAAGCTATTACATTTCTAATATTACCCTTGTTGCAGAGTGTCTTATAGCATAGTAGGCTCTATTTCTGATTCTCCAAAGGAATGGCTCTAAATAAATGTTCATATGTTTGTATAGATATTGATTTATGTATTATCTATCTGCAGGGTATTCCTGAAAATGAAAGGAGAACCACCAAAGCAGAGAGTGCTTGGCTTTTCCGGATGTGGTACAACTTTGATCATAAGTATCCTTAATTGAGAAAAAAAAAAAAGGATAGTGTGGACATAGATAATTACAGCTTAATGGAACAAATGTTTTGACTGTTCTCTTCCTGGAGCAGAATATAAAACCTACCTTTCATCTTTCCTTTCCCCATCAGTGCTGTGGAAAAGGAAACCCACACAGATAGATTCCTCTGCAAACCCATGAAACCATACGGACTGGTTATTTCAGAAGCTGGCTGTGTAAAGGGAACCAAAGCCCAAATGACATACTTTCTTTGATATATAGGTTTATTTATTGAGCAAACTTTAATATTTATTGTCCTTTAGCTAATTTAGCGAATCCCACGGAAGGTATTTCTTGGTTCTTGTCAGCGGACTTGGCAGGGTAAGAGAGGAAAGGCTTAGGGAAAAGCATGAGAATGAAATCAAAATGCGATAATGTTCGATACTGCGCTGTTCAGCAATACACTTTTTTTCCCCTGACCTTTCCAAAGACTAGGAGATTATCTCTATTCAGCATGCCATAGATAGCTAATGTTTTTGTTTGCCAGATTTCCTTGTTGCCCTGTTGTAAGTCTGTTTCATAGCTGGTAGTGTTGATATTCTATAACCTCTTTAAATCAGGGGTCCCCAACTCCCAGGCCACGGAGCAGTACTGATCCACACAGCAGGAGGTGAGCAATGGGCCAGTGAACATTACCGCCTGAGCTCCGCCTCCTGTCAGATTGGCAGCATTAGATTCTCACAGGAGCCCAAACCCTATTGTGAACTGCACATGCGAGGGATCTGGGTTACATACTCCTTATAAGAATCTAATGTCTGATGATGTGAGGTGGAACAGTTTTATCCCAAAACTGTTTGGTCCCCAGCCCCATCCATGGAAAAATTGTCTTCCACAAAACCGGTCCCTGGTGCCAAAAGGATTGGGGACCACTGCTTTAAATCATGCTTTTTAAACATTTTATCATTATTAAAATTAATTTCTTATTTGAAAATTCACCTAGCAAAAAGAGCCATGGAGTTCTTTCAGGCTCTGATTTATCTGATTCAAAACTTGGTTTATGTTCTACTGGAGCAAATTGGAGACAACCGTGTAAGAAATATGTCCTTGCTTTCAACTTTCTGATGAAAGCCTTGTATATTTAAGAAAAATCACTTGACGCTTAATGATTAGAAGCTACTACTTACCATGTTCTTTTTGGTAATTTTTGCATTCACTGTTTGCAAGTACTTCAAAATTAAATTATTGTATGGAAACAAGAATGCAAGCTTATCTGGGGTATTAAGACTCCCATTAGAGAAAGAGAGCCTGGCTCTTAAAATTTTTTAAAGATTATGTCATTACTTTTGGCTCCATTGTCAGGGTTTTGGATATAAGCCACTCCCATATCTCTTGGGACTTTTTCATCCCTCTAATTTAGCAGTAATTTTTTAGTGAGTTTTCTGCATAAAATGTTTTGTACATTTTCTGCATAATATATAAAACAATTCAATGATCCTAATGTTGAGAAAGAGTAGAATAATAGCTTATTCTTCTGTATATTTTATAGAAGTAAACACCAAGGCTTGTTTGACTCAGTACTGCCCTATTAAATCCTACTCAATGAAGACTTGATCATTTTAATACCTAGCACCCTGATATAATTAAATATTCCTTATTTTAGATTTCAGTTTATTTGTGTAGGCAAATGATTTGTTATAATTGAGATATAACTTGAATACAAGAAAGTACATGAATCTTAAGTGTACAGCTTAATGAATTTCAACCTGTGTCAACAACTGTGTGCCTTCATCCATATAAAGATATAAATGAACATTCTCTATCCTCCTCCACAAAGGGGTGACCATGATTCTGACTTTCATCAACACAGGTTAGTTTTACCTGATTTTGATCTTTATATATATGGATTCGTATATTAGGTATTCGTTTCTGTCTTGCTGCTTTCACTCGACATCTGTGTAATTTATCCATATTGTTTCATGTAACAGCAATTCATTCTTCTTTTATTGCTGTAGTAGGGTAGAGCTCTAGTAGGAATATACTACAGGATTTTTGTTTTTAACCAGTCTACTGTTAATAAATATTTGAGTTGTTTCTAGCTTTTGGCTATTATGAAAACCTGCATGAATATATATCTTTTGGTGGACATAAGCACTCATTTCTCTTGGGTATATACCAAGGAGTGCAAGGAGTGGAATTCAGGACAAGTATGTGTTTAAAGTTTTGTTTGTTTTGTTTTGTTTTGTTTTGGAAGTAGTGTCTGGCTCTGTTACCCAGGCTGGAATGCAGTGGCACAATCTTGGCTCACTGCAACCTCTGCCTCCCAGGCTCAAGTGATCCTCTAAACTCAGCCTCCTGGGTAGCTGGGACTCCTGGTGCATGTCATCACGCCCAGCTATTTTTTTTTTTTTTTTTTTAAATGTAGAGACAGGATTTCACCATGTTGCCCAGCCTGGCCTTTAACTCCGGGACTCAAGCGATCCACCCACCTTGGCCTCCCAAAGTGCTGGAATTATGGGAGTGAGCCACTTGCCCGGCCTGTTTAGCTTTAAAACAGACATTGCCAACCAGTTTTCCAGAGTGATTACAACCAGTTTAATTGGTTTTAACCAACTTGGTGACTTTATGATTATTTCCATCAGCAAAGTAAGGGAGTTTTATTTTTCAGTCTTTTAAATTTTAGCCATTTTGATGAGTGTGTAGTGATACCTCATATGGTTTAATTTGCATTTCTCTGATGACCAGTGAGGCTGAGCTCCTTTTCTTGTGTTTTGACCATTTAGATATCCTCTTTCGTGAAGTCTAAGTCTTTTGTCCATTGTTTAACTGAGTTGTTTTTTTCTCTCACTGATTTATAGTTTCTCTATATTCCTGAATTGGGATTTTTTGTTGTTGTTGTTGATTATTATATTTTCTCTTGGTAGCTTGCCTTTTCATTTTCTTAATCCTGCATTTAAGGAGTAGAAGTTCTTCAATTTAATGAAGTCTATTATATTTTGCTTATTTTTAGGATCAGTTCCCACTCTCACCCAGGCTGGAGTGGAGTGGTGCAATCATAGTTCACTGTAGCCCCAACCTCCTGGGCTCAGGTGATCCTCTTGCCTCAGCCTCCTGAGTAGCTAGGCCTACAGGTGCATGCTACCACACCCAGCTAGTTTGAAAAATTTTTTTATAGAGACAGGGTCTCACTTTGTTGCCCAAGCTAGAAGTCCATTTTATTCACCTTTTATGGTTAGAGTTTTCTGTGTCTTAAGAAAATCTTCCATATCCCAAGGTCATGAAGATATTTTCCTGTTTTCTTCTAGAAGTATGATTGCTTTAACTATCACATGTAAGTCTTTGATCCATCACAAATTCATTTTTGTGCATGATGAGAGATAGTGGGTCAAGATCTACTTTTTTCCATATGCATATCCAGTCGATGCAGCACCGTTTATTGAAAAATACCATCCTTACCCCACTGAATTGCAATACAACAAAGATTTGTTGAATAAGTGGAGATAAGTTTCTGGACTCTCTTTTTTATCCTGTTTCTCTATTTTTATATCAATACCACATTCTTTTAATTACTGTACTTTATAATAAGTCTTACTATCCAGTAGAGTAATTAAAATCTGGCTTTTTTCTTCTCCAGTATTGCCTTGGCTATTTTGGGTGCTTTGTGTTTTCCTTTAAATTTTAGAAACAGCTTGTCAAGTTGCACACGTGCACACACGTACACACACACACACACACAAAACTGCTGGCAAGTTTATTGGGTTTGTATTGAATCCATAAATGAATTTGTAGAGAAATGATATCATAACAATATTCAGACTCCATATCATAAACAGCATATTGCTCCATTCATTTAGGTCTTTTAAAATTTCTCTCATTAATGATTTGTACTTTTCAGTGCACAGCTTTTGTACATCTTTCATTAGATTTGTCCCTAAGTATTTGAAGTATTTGATCCTATTGCAAATGGTATTTATTCTATTTTATACTTGTTTGATGTAAATATATAGATTTAAATATATATATATATAGTTTGTTTGTTTGTTTTGTTTTGTTTTGAGACAGAGTCTCGCTCTGTCACCCAGATTGGAGTGCAGTGGCGCGATCTCGGCTCACTGCAACCTCTGCCTCCCAGGTTCAAGCGATTCTCCTGCCTCAGCCTCCCAAGTAGCTGGGACTACAGGCGCCTACCACCACGCCCAGCTAGGTTTTTGTATTTTTAATAGAGGCGGGGTTTCACCATGTTAGCCAGGATGGTCTCAATCTCCTGACCTCGTGATCTGCCCGCCTTGGCCTCCCAAAGTGCTGGGATTACAGGCGTGAGCCACCACGCCCGGCCTAAAATTTGATTTTATATATGGACCTTGAGTCCAGCAGTCTTGCTAAGTTCACTTATGATTTCTAATAGATTCTTTTTGGTCTTCTATATTCATAATTAAATGATCTATGAGTAATGATGTTTTTTTTTTTTTTCTTTTCCAATCCCTGTATTTCTTTTTTGTGTCTTTTTACATTGGCTTTTGTAGGGGACTTCTCCAGTGCAATGCTGAATATAAGTGATGATACTGGACGTTCTTATCTTATTCCTGACCTCAGAGGGAAATTTTTCAATATTTCACCATTAAGTACGATGTTAGCTGTACATTTTTGGATATATCCTTTAGCAGATTAAGAGCATTCTCTTTTATTTCTAGTCTGCTGAGAGTTTTTATCATGAGTTTTTGTCTGCTGAAAATTTTTAGTATCAGATGCTTTTTCTGCATCGAGATGATGATGTGTTTATATTTTTCTTCTTTAATCTGTTATTTTGATTTCCATTGATTGGTTGTTTTAATGCTAAACCAGCCTTGCATTGCTGGAACAAATTCCACTTGGTCATGATGTGTTATCCTTTGTGTATATCACTGGATTTAATTTGCTAATATTTTGCATCTGGTTTCTGTATCTATTTTTATGAACAATAATGGCTTGTGATTTTTTCTTATAGTGTCCTTGTTAGGTTTCTATAACAAGATTAAGCTGGCCTCATAAAATGAATTGGGAAGTATTCCTTCATTTTCTGTTCTCTGAAGGAGTGTTAAGATTAGTGGTTTTTGTTTGTTTGTTTTTTGGTTTTTTTTTAATGTTAGGAAAGTTTTACCAGTGAAGCCATTTGAGCCTGGAGCTTTTTGTAGGAAAAAGTTTTTAATTTCATTAATAAATACAGGACTATGTAGGTTTTCTTTTTTTTTCTTCTTCTTCTTCTTCTTCTTTTTTTTTTTTAAACCATTTGTCAACATCTGGCAAGTTTTGTTTTCTAAGGAATTTTTTCTTGTAGAGACAAACATCAAGACCTGTTAGCCTCAATACTACCCATTCAGTACCAGAAGATGAAGACCTGGTCATTTCTTTACCCAAAACACTAGTGGAATTCATCATTCCAGTTTTTTAGTGGCTTTGTGTTTGGCCAGATGTTTTATAAAGCATGTTTATATAGAGTGCTTTAATCTTTACTTATAATTTATTAATATGAGGATTCATGAAATTTTCTCTGACTTTCTCATTTTTAATTGAGAACCACCTTAGGTTCTCATTTTAGAAAATGAGGAGGGAGGGCATGGAGGCTCACGCCTGTAAACTCAACACTTTGGGAGGCTGAGGTGGGAGGATTGCTTGAGGCAGACTCAGCTCAAGACCAGGCCTAGCAACATAGTGAGACCCTGTCTTTGCAAAAATTAAATTAAAAAAAAATAGTTGGGCATTGTGGCATGTACCTGCTATTATCACCCACTGCACTCTAGCCTGGGTGACAGAGTGACAGTCTGTCTCAAAAAAAAAAAATAAGCAAATGAATAAACAAATAAAGTGAGGAATTTATGTGTCTGTATCATTTTCTCCTTTTTCTTGTGATTCCCTCTTTTTCCTTCTGTCATGTTTCTCATGTCTGTTTTTATTTTTTGGCAAATAAATGAATACTGAAATGAGGGCCTATGATAAAGGGCCTCATGATACATAGTTTTTTAAAATGTCTTGAGATTTGACTTGCCTTTCCTTCTTATAGCTTCCTAAGGAAGTCAGTCTGATACTGAAGTTTCAACTTATAGCATGCAGGAGGCCAGCTGAATTCACAATAAATGATGAAAAACATTTTATTACTATGTTCTGCTGGAACATTTAATTTCCTCTCTGGCCATTAACATTGTTTACTTTCTCCCTTATCTCCTTTAGTGCTCAATTTACAGTGATGTTCCTTTTGGTTTCAGTAAAATCAGAAAAGCAATGTGATGTGGTGGTAAGGGCACAAGATTTGAAATTCAGACCAATTTGGGCTAGCAGATTGGTCCCCGTTTACCTCATTGTGTGGCTTTAGGTAGGTCATTGACCTCTCTGAGCCTCAGTTTCCATATCTGTGAAGTGGAGATGATAAAATACCCCTTTGCTGTTTCACTGCCATGATGTGAGGAGGAAATGAGACCATAGACGTGAAAGCCCTTTGCTGTCCTCCGAAGTGGTTGCTACACCGTGATGGTGATTATTATCAGACGGATTGTTCTTTTAAATTTGTAAAGAAAGGACCACAGTTCTTCCTTAACCACCGCAGCTATCTGAAGCCTCTGCTGACTCACAGCGGGCCTCCGCTGACAACAACACTCCCTGCCTGCTGTGGACCCATCGCCAGGTGCCTCACCAGCCCCCAGGCTTACGAAGTAAGTCGGTTTTATCCAAAACTAAATTCTTCAGTAAGTTAAATTTATCTGCTCTGTGGATGAGTCACTGGTTTTATTTTATTTTGGTTTGGTTTTCTGCCTTTGAGGTATAAATTCCATGAGGGAATTTAAGCATATTTTGCTCAACCAGAAAATACACTGAAACCTATAAATATAATTCACAGCCTTTGAAAGAGCATTTGAAAACAGATATAGAATCGTGCCTCATCTTACTGTGGGTGATTTTAGTAAATAGTTCTATTTCCATGCTGGCTTTCATTTCTTTGCAGTATGTGTCCTGAGCTCAGTACTAAATGTGTATGCTTTCATCCACAAATGAGGGTTGTCTCAGTTACATTGAGAGGATTTTAAAACAATTTTGACATCCCTAAAGTGCAACAGATGGTCTATTATTTCACACCTCCCAACCTTTGGATGTTTGGGAAAGCTTATCTGCCTCTGTTCCACCTTGTTGGGACGCATGAACATATCTAGATAGAATCTGGATTCCATATTTTTTTTCCTTAGCTACCAAAATGTGATTGGTAATTTGATAAATATTGCTACTAAGAAAAAAAATAACAGAAATGCTAGCCAGCCTTTGTTTTTAAATGTGAGCATTTTTATTTTTCAATTTCTTTTTTAAAAACCTTCCATTCTGGCCAGGCGTGGTGACTCATGCCTGTAATCCCAGCACTTTGGGAGGCCTAGGTGGCGGATCACCTGAGGTCAGGAGTTCAAGACCAGACTGGTCAACGTGGCGAAACCCCATCTCTACCAAAATTACAAAAATTAGCTGGGCACAGTGGCGCGCGCCTGTAATCCCACCTACTCGGGAGGCTGAGGCAGGACAATTGCTTGAATTGGAGAGGTGGAGGTTGTGGTGAGCAGAGATCATGCCACTGCACTCCAGCCTAGGCGACAGAGTGAGACTCTATCCAAAAAAAAAAGAAGAAGAAGAAGAAAAAGCCTTCCATTCTAAACCAACCTTTCAGAAATAATCTATGACATCATATAGGCTCCCTTGTTAACAAAGCCCACCAGTTTTGACTACTCAGATGCAACACGCAGAACCTTGAGAGGGGAAGCTGTATAAGAAATGGACAGGAAAGAGTAGGCAGAGTAGGGGTGGCATCTGGGCCAGGGAGGAGCATCCTACGGCTTTGTGTTATGTCGAGTCAATGCATGTTTCTGACAGACTGTGCCCGTGAGATGGGGAGCACACCCCATGTTGCCCCTCCTCTCCCTTCCACATTGCCCAGGCTCCCCTCTCAAACATTGTCTGCATTTCCGCTATGCCCTGTTAACCCACATGACTGTGCAGAGAAGTCAGCCAGCTCTGTTGGTTCAGGCAGTGAAGCTTGGCTCTTGGATTCCAGAGACCCACTCGCCGTCACCAAAAGCCAGAAGAGGTCCACAACAACCCTGTGTCCTTGGAATGTAGCAAAACACAACAGGCTCCCTAGAGCAGCTGTAACAAAGTACCACAAACCGAATGGCTTAAACAATAGAAACTTATCATCTCTTAGTTCTGGAGGCTGAAATCCAAGGTCAAGTTGTTGGCAGGGTCAGTTCCTTCTAGGCTGTGAGGGAGAATCTGCTCCAGGCCTCTCTTCCAACTCCTGGTGGCTTCCTGGCGATCTTTGACCTTCCTTGACTTATAGATGCATCACTGTGTATCTCTACTTTCATCTTCACATGGGATTCTACCTGTGTGCGTACCTACCTCTGTGTCCAAATTCCTCCTATTCATAAGGACAGCAGTCATACTGAATCAGGGCCTACCTTATTTTAAACAAGACCCTATTTCCAAACAAGGTCACATTCACAGGTGCTGGGGGTTAGGACTTCAACATCTTTTGGTGGGGAGGGCGGGGGAGGATACAGTTTAACCCATAACAACCATCACACTTAATTTTTTTTTAGACAGAGTCTTGCTCTGTCACCCAGGCTGGAGTACAGTAGCGCAATCTTGGCTCACTGCAACCTCCACCTCTTGGGTTCAATGATTCTTATGCCTTAGCCTCCTAAGTAGCTGGGATTACAGGTGTGCACCACCACACCCAGCTCATTTTTCTGTATTTTTTAGTAGAGATGGGTTTCGCCATGTCAGCCAGGCTGGTCTTGAACTCCTGGCCTCAAGTGATCCACTCACCTTGACCTCCCAAAGTGCTAGGATTACAGTCATGAGCCACTGCACCTGGCCCAGACGTAATTTATATTATTTTTGTTAACTGCTTTTTTTAGTTATAAAACTAGCAAGCTCATGACCAAATATCCATGGAGTATGGAATGTACAAAGTGAAAAATCAAAGTTGCCTTCCTCCTACCTGCAGTCCTCGAGGCAGTCTTTATTATAGGCTCACTGTGGATACTTCCTGATATATTTTCTTGCAAATGAATATGTCTATATATGGCTTTGTTATTATTTTACACAAATGGGATTATAATAGGCATATTGTCCCATTACTTGCTTTTTTTTCAATTACTGATACATCATGGATACCTTTACATGTGAGTACAGTAAATGTCTTACCTTCTCTTTTCATGGCTACAAATTTCCATTTCATAGCTATAGCAAAATTCATTTCAGTCTCTTATGGATAGACATTTCAGTCATTTCCTTTTTTGCTATTATAAACAATACTTACAGTGAATATCCTTTTACATATAAACTTACCCAACTATGTAAAAGTATATAGAATAGATTTTAAAGGTAAAATCACTGAGTCAAAAGGCATGTGCATTTTACAATTTGATAGATATTGCCCCAAACCTCAAACTTAATAAAGATATTAGAAGGTGCTGAAGAGCCCCTGAGGACCTGTGAAGGAGCCACAGAGCTAGTGAGTATTGCTGAATTAAGTGATAGATACCGGTTAGATAGACTTACTGTCCTAAGTAGATTAGATAGGAAGGGATTTAGGCTGGTTGGTGGCTATGAATTTGTTTGTTTGTTTTTGAGATGGGTTCTGGCTGTGTTGCCCAGGTTAGCCTCAAACTTCTGGGCTCAAGCAGTCCTCCCGCCTTAGCCTCCCCAGTAGCTAGGACAATAGGCATGTGCCACCCGTACCCAGCCGTTTGTTTTTCAGTTCACACTTGTTTTGGCCTTTGAGTATTTGGGGAAATTTCTAGCAACAGCAGATTAAATTCCTTTTTAGATTTTGTCTAATAGTCTTCTCAGTCTATTTGACGGTCTTAGACAAATTCAAAATTTTCAGACAGACATGGGATTTAGGAATCTGGAGAATATACTTCCCTCAAGGAGCATTAATGACAGACTGTTTCATGCTAGATCAATGTGCATATTTAGAATGATCCTTTCTCTTTAAAGTCATTTAGAAAAAATGACTTCTTCTGTTTTTTAAAAGTAGTATGTACTCATTATAATACAATTTCAGATAATACAGAAACATAAAGAAGAAAAGACTTTTCTATGCACTCTTACTTACATTTTTTATTTGCCAAAATAGGACTATGTATTCCTGATACTTTTCCCTTTCGTAGAACCTTATTTAAGTATACTGTTTTGGCTGTAATATTTCCATGAGAACCCAAGCTGCTGTGGAGCTGCAGTGAGGGCTTGATAAGTTTCTCTGTGCCCCAAACTGTATTAGGTGGTTGGACCATGTAGCATTTACCCTGTGTCTTCACCACATGTGTATCGGTCTGCTCCCCTCACACACTAGACTGTAATCCTCTTGACGGCTCGATACACACACAGTTACAGCTCAAGGGTAAGTGCCACTACAGGGAGAGGGCCAAGTATAGGATGCCATGAAAGCACACAGGAAGGACACCTAACCTAGTCCTAGAAGCTCAAGGAAGACTTCAGAGCTAAAGTGATAAAAGGGTGTTAGTCATGTGAAAGGAAAGAGGGGTCATGTAGAAGGACCTGGAGGTAAGAGAAACCACGAGGAGTCTGGGCAGCTGTCAGCACTTCAGTCTGGCTGGCAGACAATAGGGCTGTTGGTGTGGGAGGGGCAGATTGTGGCAGGAGAGGAACTAAAGAGGCCAAGTCACGCTGTATTTTAAGCCAAGGTGTGGACTTTATACTTTATCCTGAGGGCAGTGGGCTACCACTTAAGGTTTTAAATAGGGAATCCTCTAAAATACTCCTGTTGGAAATGTCTCTTGAACTCAACAATTCTTAAATCTTACTTTGTTTGCATTTAGAACCAGGAACAGTTGAAAGATGATGATTCTGATCTTATTCTCAATGATGGTGATATCAGTTTGACATATGGAGATTCTACTGTGAACACTGAATCGGCCACATCCAGCGCTCCAAGGAGATTTATGGGAAACAGTTCTGAAGATGCCTTGGATCGGGAGCTTGCATTTGGGGACCATGAACTGGTCATTCGAGGAACACGCCTGGTTCTTCCAATGGATGATTCTGAACCCCCACTAAATTTGCTAGATAATACGAGACACGGTCCAGCCTAAGCTTACTAATACTCACTTAGTGATTTGTAAAATTTGCACATGTGATTGTGAAGAAATTTGTACTACCTAAAAGTCCCAGTGCATGTCTCTGAATGTGTAAGCTATATAAATGCTATTTATATGGCATAGAAAGAATATAAATATCCTGTACACGGCAGATTGTGAACAAACTATATTCCTTTAAGTTTTCCTGGTTGCACTCTGTAGACTGGATCTGTTTTAGAAAGTTACTTTCACAGTGATGTTATGTGTTCTGTTAGTTTTATGTCTCAGTTAAAGTACAAAAAGTGACGGATTTTCTCTTTCTTAAACTTACCTGACACTTAACCAGAGTACCAAGTTCTCGTGATGTGAATTAATTTTTTTGTGTGCTAGGGGAGGGAGAGTGAGGAGGGCATGTTAGTTCCTTGGGAACCCAGGGAGGAGAGGTTCCTTTATTGGGAAACTTGTTGATAGCTGCTGCCTTTGTCCTGACCGTTTTCTTTCCCTTTTCTCTGGTGGCCTGTTGTGGTGCAAGGAGCTGATGGCATTTGATCTTGCCCCATTCAGGTTGGGGAGTGAAGTGTGGGGACCCTTTTCCCCCGCTTGCTGTGAAAGCACAGATTCATTGACTAGAGTACACTGTTGTTCAGAAAAGAAGGCTGCAAATGACTTCTGAGACCTTATGTCTTTTCTTCCAGACCAAGACCATAGAAGGAGTAGCATCTAGCCGGCTTAGCCAAAGTACAGGTGTATTTAGTTCAGGGCACTTGATTTATATTTGGAGGGGCTGGGGTGGGCAGAGAGCAAGAGGCAAGTAAAGAGAATGATGGTTTCAGAGATCTCTCTTCCCAAATGTGTAAATATTCTATACCAGATAAGTTTAAATAAGAAATTTAATTGCTGCTTAATTTTTGATTATGTACTTTATCTGTATAGCAAGCTTTGTCGTCAGAAGTTTTTATATCAATTTAAATTGCTGCTCTTTAGCAGCCAAACAGGAGCAAAATGTAAAATTTTTGAACTTACTGTGTCTAATCATCATTTGTTAGTCTGTAGTTAATGTCAACAGTTAATTTATGAACCCACGATCGTTCCACACTACACCAAAGTCAGTCATAAGAGAAATCGAATATTCTGGGCATTGATTGCAGCAAGGTGGCTGCTTTGTGTGCAGGAGGTGTAGTAGTCTTCATTTTCACGGTACTTTTTAATATTAATTATCTAAGCTGCCATGCATTTTTTTTACAGTTTTCAAGGAAGAGCACAGAACAATTTCTCATTTCATATTTGGAGTATGAAAGTAGATTCTATTTTGTAAAGCTGATAATACCTAAAGGTGCATGGAATGCTTGGAAGAATACTTTTTGATGTTGATTTTGACCTGTTCGTGATTCAGAAGAAAAACAAACTGTTTTGGATTTTTTTCCCTCAGGTCTGAGTAGCATTGCCTTAAATCTTACCCAGTTAGAACATTGGTTTATTTACATGATGTTCAGATTTTCCAGTGAAAAATACCCTTCCGAACAAAACATGTACTTACTCTCCAAAAGGTATCTGTGCTATTACAAACACTCCTTGAGATTTTAAGGGAATTCTAATGTTGTACCCTTTCGTGGCAGCTTTGACTGTTGGCATAGCCATTTGTTATGTAGTGGTAGCGACTTTCCTGCTATGCAGGAATCCCTCCCATGAAGTGTATGTTTTACATGATGTGTGCCTCTTCACGCAGTAAATAGTTTCTTGTTAATGTATGTTCGAGGGGTTTGAACGTCAGTGTCATTTACCCACAAAGTTATTCAAGTTGTAAAAGGTTATACAATAATTTAACAACTACCTTTTTTTATTCTGTCGGGTTACTGACCTCACTTTATGTAAATACTTCGCATGACAAATTCAGTAACTCGTCTATTTCAGCATGCATAAGACTTTTCACTAGGGAAACTGATAAAGCTTGAGTCAAATAAATCTGCCTTCATACTTTATCAAGGGGAACCAAGCCTGCTGTGTTTAACATCAGCATCTGGAAGATTTTCCTCTCCTCTAATCTGTGTACACATCTCCAAGAAAGGAAGAAAAAACAAACTCTGCTCAGACGCCTATGAAACACCTGAATGAACTTTGATGAAGTCCAGTCTGAGTTACCATCATGCACAAGTAGAACTGCTCTTGGACTTGTTTTCCTGTTGTTTGTGGAACCTACACGTTTGAATGACTTGAACGTTGCATCTTTAAAGTTATTTTTTAAGATTTCTTGGCATTTATCCTAGTTGTCCGTGTTTGGCAATGTGCTGTTAAAGTAATAGACTTTTAATCTTTATGTATTTTTTTGTTTTCTCTGGAGTACTTGGACAGATGTTATAGTGGTTTCTTTTAGGAAAATCTGTCATTAAAAAAGTTATAGCCTTGCAAATAACCACTCACAGTATTTGAGTCACAGTTTATTCTAGTGAGACGTAAAGAGTGCTGACTTCATTTATTTTTCTACCTATATACCTACTGGAAAAGGGGAAGACTAATGTTTTCAAATAAACAAACAGAAACCTAACAGAACTTAACTTATGGGGTGGCAGATTTTTGGTGCTTACGTGTAAGGGTGGATTTATTTGCTTATGGTCACAATTGGACTCTTTAGGAAATGTGACTCAAAGCAGTCAAATTCCGTTACATGGATTTGTAGCCTGTTAGCTTAGTAATGGATAATGTTATGAAAATGCTGGTATGAGGAGAGAGAATTCTATATCCAGTTAGGTAGGAAGGCAGTTCCAAGTATATCCAGTTAGGTAGGAAGGCAGTTCCAAGTTTGGCTGAAAGCATGATCACACAAATACAAATAGTCCTCCTTCCAAGTTAAAGACATGTCTCTCTGTGCATGAGAAGTTTTATAGTCTAGAGTGTGCTGACTGCAAGTTTGTCTGGTCCAGCAATGGCACCAACCACGCTATCTGTTGTGTTTTGTTGTCATCCACTCCAGCTTCCTTGTTTATGGCCCAGTGAGAGACATTGGTGGGGGATGATCCACACACAACAGGCTCTTTTCTTGAAGGAACCCATGTTTTCTAATTCACCACACAAAACCCTACATTAGATCTGAGCAGGTACAGTTGTTAACCTGACCCAATGCAGGAGTATAATGAGATGAGAGTCCCTGACAGGACGTATGCCACACAGATGATGTAGTGTGAGGCTTGAAAGTAAATTGGAAATGATAATAGTTCTCATTTTTGAGCCCTTCTTAGGTACTGGTCATGTGTATACAAGACATTTTTAAATCTATAATTCAATCATGCGTTGAGGGCACATTCTATCATCCTCAGTATACAGATGAGACTGAGGTGCAGAGAAGTCACACAGCAAGTTAAGTGGCAGAGCCAGGACTCAAGTCTGGCTCCAAAGCCCAGATGCTTACTAGTCTGCTGGCCCCAAAGGCAGGCTCTGCTGATTCATCCTGAGTGTAACCAGAAGGATGAAGGGAATTGCAGAATTGCTTTCTAGCCTGCTGCCCCCAACCTGCTTGTCATCAGGCCAGGCTAGAGCATGAAGTCTCAGCTCTGTCCCTCCACTTGCTGCTGTGCTCTTGGCTGTCAGGCATGCGTTACCTGGTTGGGAGGGTCCTCGCATTCATAGCAAAGGGCCCTCCAGTGTCTTGTTGGGCCTATGGGCAAGCAGCCTGCCTAGCAGCATTTCTTCATGCTCTAACTCCCAACATTATCACCAAGGGGCCTGGATTTTATAGCGGAGTTTGCAGTCCTGAACAATGGCTTTGCATCCCCACAGTTAAGCATAGTAGAAAAAGCCCAGGCTCTGGAGTGACACAGACCTGGGTTCAAACCCAGGCTCTGCTGCTTGCTTATTGTATAATGTTGACCACTTACTTCACTGAGCCTTTTAGTTTTCTCAGCTGTAAAGTTAATTCATTCAAGAAATATCTGAGTGCTTACTTTGTGCCACACACAGTGGAGATAGCAGCAAATAACTAAACAATCCCAGTTCTCATGGAGAGTATTCTACGGGAGATGTAACAATCTCATGGAGTTCTTAGGAATCATTCATGCAGGAAAGACTGATTGCCTTCTTGCCTTCTAGTGGGGGTGGGTTATCTTGTTTTGTTTTGTTTTGTTTTTGAGACAGAGTTTCACTCATTTCGCTCTTGTCGCCCAGGCTGGAGTGCAATGGTATGTTCTCGGGTCACTGCAACCTCTGCCTCTCAGGTTCAAGCGATTCTCCTGCTTCAGCCTCCCGAGTAGCTAGGATTACAGGCACCCACCACCATGCTGGGCTAATTTTTGTATTTTTAGTAGAGACGGGGGTTTCACTACGCTGGCCAGACTGGTCTCGAACTCCTGACCTCAGGCGATCCACCCGCCTCGGCCTCCCAAAGGGCTGGGATTACAGGCATGAGCCACCACACCCAGCCAATATCTTTCTTAAGTAATCAACAAGTAAAAGAATCGTGGCTGGGCGCGGTGGCTCAGGCCTGTAATTCCAGCATTTTGGGAGGCCAAGGCAGGTGGATCATGAGGTCAAGAGATCGAGACCATCCTGGACAACATGGTGAAACCCAGCCTCTACTAAAAATACAAAAATTAGCTGGGCATGGTGGTGTGCGCCTGTAGTCCCAGCTACTCGGGAGGCAGAGGTTGCACTGAGCTGAGATTGCACCACTGCACTCCAGCCTGGTGACAGAGCAAGACTCCGTCAAAAAACAACAACAACAAAAAAATGTAAGTGCTAGCTGGATGTGATGTTGTGCACCTACCTATAGTCCCAGACACTCAACCCAGGAGGTTGAGGAAAGAGGATTGCTTGAGCCCAGGAGGTCAAAGCCCCAGTGAGCGGTGATCACACCACTGCATTCCAGGCTGAGCAACAGAGCAAGAACCTGTCTCAAAAAATTTTTTTTTTTAAATGCAGGACACTATGAGAGGGTACTGTAATCTGGTGGTAAGGGGACTGGGGAAGATTGTCCTGATAAAGTGACATTTAGATCTCGAGCAAGTCAAGGGTCAGCCATGTGAAGCGGGGTGAGGACAAGGATCATTCCAGGCAGAGCGAACACTGATATTCCACCCGACCTTTATTCAGTCAAAATGTTATTGAGTGACAAACACACCACGTGCTGTGCTATCCTGTTTACATACAGTGAGGAATACCATAGACACAGGCCACCCTTGCAGCACTTACAGGTTAGTAGGGAAGACAGTAAGTAACCAACAATTACATAAGCATAGCGAGGAGCATCCTGGACCAAAATCTGCCCCCGCAGCATCCTCTCCCTCACCTCTGTCCCACTGGATCTCTTAGGGCGAGTTCACTCCCTGCTTTTGTGTTGCCACCTTCAGACATTTGAAAGGAGCTGGTATGTCTTCCCTGAGTCTTTTTGTCCCCATACTAAACAACTCCATTCCCTTTCTGTCTTCAGGAGGTCTGCCAGAAGTCCATTATTCTTTTATGAACACACCTAAGCACATACTGGCTTTGTTACAGTGGTCGCCTCACGTGCTCATATTACAGTGCGTGGACTGTCCACAGAAAGTCTGGACCAATAGTGCCCTGCCCTCATAGAGCTTACATTCCAGTCAGGGAAGGCAGACCGTAAGTCAACATACACACAAAATCATTCAAGTTGGGATAAGTGACAAATAGGAAATGAGATAGAGGGTGATGGGTGTGCAGAGGTGGGGTGGGTGTAGGAGGGGCAGTCAGGAGGTCTTGCTTAAGGGGTAACATTAAAACCAAGACCCGAAAGAGCCAACCAAGCAGAGAATAGTGGAAGAGTGGTGAAAAGGTCTGGTTTAGGGTAGATGCTCAGTGCATGTTTGTTGAAAAGGAGTGAAATGCTCTCCTGACCTTTATGGAGCTGGATTTTGAAGTCCAGGGTGGTGGAATAAGAGAAGCAACAGGGTAACAGTCAGGAGGCCTGAGTCCTAGCCCCGTCTGCCGCTAGGCACTTTTAGGAAGCCACTTCAACCTGCCTGCGCCTGTCTCTTCCTTTACAAAATGATGGCAGTTCACTGAGCTATTACCATGTGCCAAGCACTGTGGTAGGTACTGGATACTGGTTTCAGCCCCAAGTCACTGCCAGGCCTGTTGTGGGGGATCAGATGAAGTGATGTACATTGAAATGTTTTGACTGGGATTAAGAAGACTCTCGAAACCGAGATTGAATATTCGGTAAGGTTTTGCTGATGAGGTGCTATTTGAATAAAATATGGAAAAGTCTTTGCAGACCACGCAGCTACTTTGGGCTGCTTTCCTTTGGAATCTCCAGTTCAGCAATTTGGAGGTGCCCCAAGTAGTTACCATGGTAAAGACTGAATTCTGAGAACTGGCTTAGTTGGGGTTGTCATGGCTGAAGCCTGAACTCCATGAGACCTGACAATTTCTGGCCAATTCTGCCCAGTGAAAGAACCCTTTCCTTTTTTTGTTTTGTTTTGTTTTGTTTTTTTGAGATGGAGTCTCACCCGGGCTGGAGTGCAATGGTCTCGGCTCACTGCAACCTCCACCTCCCAGGTTCCAGCAATTCTGCTGCAGCCTCCTGAGTAGCTGAGATTACAGGTGCCTGCCACCACACCCAGCTAATTTTTGTATTTTTAGTAGAGACAGAGTTTCCCCATGTTGGCCAGGCTGGTCTCGAACTCCTGACCTCAGGTGATCCACCCTGTTCGGCCTCCCAAAGTGCTGGGATTACAGGCATGAGCCACCGCCCCCCGCCAAGAACCCTTTCCTTTACCATGAACCTGTACTGCAGTTGCAGCTTGAGGAGAGGACCCCTGTCCTCCGTGTCCGTTGGACACCAGGTTGGCTCACTTTCCACTTGCTGCTGTCTGGTAGGCACTGGGTCCTGCTAAAGAGACACAGCTTAGTTTTGCCAGTCACTTCTGTTTCAGTGATGAAAAAATGTATTGAAAGCTCTCTGAGCACTTCTTGGAAACAGGGTTTAATTTCTCCAGATTCGTTGGAATTTTGAAGTGGTTCACTGTGTGTTTAAATACAAATCCTACAAAAATTGCTTGAGAAGTATTCAATTTTTGGTTGCTTTGGGAGTCACGAGTCTTCATTGCATGATTTTTTTGTTGTTGTTCACTTGAATTTCTTATACAGCTGTGTTCCCATGTGTACTAGGCAAAAAGCATGTGAGCTGTTTTTTCACCAGAAAAAATCTGGAAGACTTCTGTCAGATAATAGAAGTTGCCTGTTTTTTCAATTGTAGAGTTGGTTTCGTGTGAGAAAACAAGATAATGGCAATTGGAACCCCCCGATTGTGCTACAAAATTGGTTTTTAAACACTTTTTTGAAACTCAACAATCAAAGTTTCATTTGCTGAGGGGAACGAAGAGGTTGATATTTAAACACTACAGTCAATCAATATTTTGCTTACTAATATCCAGTCAATAGACACTGAGCACCTCACCTGGGCTGAGCCCTGGGCCAGACACTGGGAACACAGAGGTGACAAAATCATAGTTTCAATTGAAAAACAAATGCAGCCAATTAAGTAAGAGCATTGCCGTTGTGTGAAAAGCATTAGAAGGGGGGCGCTGTATGAAATTCAGGT